TTCCTCTTGCTTAGGTTAACACCGTCTACAACGTTAGCGGCAAACAGCAGCTCGAAAACGCTTGAGAAATATAGACGAACCGACAGTCGTCTTCAGCAGGCACAGCCCTTGAAAGTCTTTTGAAGCGATGATCGGCTGGGTCTGCTTGATCCTTCTCAGTTACTCGTTTGCGTTTGCTTTGCTGCCTAAGTATGTATAGGCTGGGTGTAGGATATAAGCGGTTGTTGCTACCGCAATTTGGTCCTCTTCTATTTTTTCACAGCCTGAGTTTTCAGTAGAAGCAAAGACCAACGAAGAGACCATACCCCGGAGGGGGGGGGGGGAGGCAGGCGTACGGCTGGAGATGACGAAGCTTCACATAGCGTAAAGGAAGAAGCAACTGCAGCAGATCCATACCTCGGCATTAAAATCAGAAGGAAGGCATTCAGTAGGGCCTCCGCAAAGATTGTTGCTGCTGTCCGTCCCTAGTATCTAGCCTCGCGCTCGCTAGTGAGCGACGAGATCTCCTTCAGCTTCAGCAGTAGCTGCTGTTTGTGCGGCCGCTGAGATATAACCAACTCTCCCCGCCCTACGTTTCGTGCTTCGGAGACATCCGGAGCAAAGAACGTCGAAGCGGACCGCGTGGCCATGTTAGCCTCAGCTAAAATTCGTACCGAAACTACAGAGGAACTGGTGCGCATTCTCTGTATGCTGCTACCGAGGGACATGCTGCATGAGGAACAATCCACCCGTAGGCTGCCTTTGATACGCTTGCTATTTTGTCGCCACCAACTACGGAGTTCCTTGACAAACAAAGAAGGACCAATGATCTAGGTTGTTTCTTACCTACTACGACTGTTCAGAGAGTCCTTGAAGCAGCGTCGGCAGCGGCAGTGGGGATTCAATTTCGACCAAGGAATAGTTAGTCGCCGGGGCAAGAGTAAAATAGCGTCAATAGTGAAATCGCACTAAGCAAAGGGAAGATACGTGTTGATGTTCGATCGAACAAAGCATTCTTCTTACGGCACTGTACCTATACGATAGCATAGGAAAACAGAGCCTCTAATACAACACAGCTTGATGGCAGCAAATACATGTACATATATAGGTGCCCCTCACTCACGGATCCACACAGAGCGCAGCAGAGAGAAAAAGAAGCTCTTCTTTTGTTGATCTGAAGGGAAACTTCATGACGGACAAACGACCAATAACAACTATGAGAGACCTGCCGAACTGAGGGAGGTCAACTTACGTTTTTTTTTCGTTTCTTTTTCTCTGCGTACTACCGTGATCTCTCGAACAAAAGGCAGCCAGGTAGCAAGGACTCAATGTAGGCCCTCGAATCACTACCAGACAACAGTAAAATGCATCAAACAATTCCATCTTCTACTATAGATATTTTCCAAAATAAAAGTTCTCAACTGTTTGAAACAGCACCAGCAGCAGCAGCAGCAGAAACTGTCGTCTATCACAGACCTTTCATTTTTGTTTCTTCATTAAATTTCTACATGTAGTAGATGTGTGTTTATCGTCAGCCAATAGATTTGTAGACCAGACAGAAGCAACTAATAGGATAATTAGGCGATTTCAGGTCGCATCATTAAAGGCGGGTTGGTAACGCAGGCGTAGTCAGAGTGATTGGTAGGACGGGGTGGTATGTAAGATGTTAAGCAATCTGGCAGGTTTTTCAGACCATCAACAAGCCAGATGGTTACTACGGGCCGGCTTAAAGGAGTTTACCGATGTGGATGTCTTTATCGCTGTTGTCGCAGTTGTTGTTAAGCAATGTGCATGTATCGATTCATTGTAGATACGCCATTTTCGAGGTTAAGAGGGGTGAAGAAGAGGAGAATCTGAGGCGCTAAGAAACCGACCGACTCGAGAAAACGGCGATAGTCTTTTTTGAACGGAGGAAATCCGACAATTGGTTTTTCTCGGACACGATAGTGGGTGAGCTAGTTGCAATGACTAGCTAGTATTGGTTAGCGAAATCGCACGTCATACACATTTTTGGTTCTGACCCTCTTTGAGAAAGCTCTTAATACCAGAAGCACAGAAGAAAGAAACGGAACTATTACGTCGTATACGGTGGCACCAGAGCGATTGCATGAGAAAAAATGGCGACAACGAAGCAAAGCGCGAAAAGTAGAGAAATGCTACGTCGTACAGAAAACTTTTTCTGTCCAGTTACAAAGTTCGGCTGCGCAGAAAACCGGCGCGGTAGACAGGACGAGGCGAGCTTCGAATTCCTTTGGGGGTGACGTGACCGGTCTCAACGGTAGCTGGCCATAGTCACTGATTTATGGAGGCCAATGAGCCGCTTCGCAAAAATGCAATATAATACACAGAAATTCTGCCAGAAGCTGCCAGAGACTGTGTATAAGTAATTTCTTTTTATCTCTGGATAATATCTTCCATTAAAGACGGTAAAGGTAGTTAAGGTTCAGATTGAAGGCTTTCAATAAGTTCAGTCTGCCAGCAGAGTAGAACATCAAAAGAAAATAATATTACAATAGATGAAACTATTACAGAATCTTTAGCAAATTTTGCAAATTGACAGGCAAATACTACCGATAGGCATATTAAGCAAACTTCAAACAAGTCCACACATAAACACAAGTATTTTTTGTCTTTGTTTTTCAACTCGCAGTTCACTTTGAGACGAACTTTTACGAAGGCCATCCGGGAGAAGGTTTACAGCATAACTGGGCTTATTTCAGTCCCCCGCCGAAACCCGCGAAGAATGGCCTTCCATTGACTTGTAGTGTTAGCGTTGATATAAAGTACTAGATATGTTTCTTTCTCTGTGAGCCTGGCTGGACTTCTAGCTTTATGGAACGATATGAAAGTTTTAAGCCGTTTGCCAACGGCTGAACGGTTATGTTCACCATGGCAACGCATTTAAAGGTACGTGCATGAATTACCCAGTTTACGTCTTTCACAAACACTCAAGTGCTTTAGAGTACGTCATCTACAGGTAACATCTATAATAAACACGCCAAAATAACACGCAGAACTATGTAGTGTATGGTTTCTGTTAGCGCGTCTCGTTTGTTAATTCGCTATGTGTTCTGAAACACAAACTATAGATCAATGTGTTCAGGAATTATTTCGAAAAATAAACAAATGCGTCATAGAAGTGAGATGAAGCAAATTTATTATAAAGAGATTGAGATTCATTGTATAGGTTCTGGCAACACCGATTTCCTGATGATTCTTTTACGATACAATGAAGCAAAAAATTAAGAAAAATACAATATAGTATGATACGTTGCCATTTTGGCAGTGTCCCCATTAAGTCTCGGTGTTTTTGTTCTTTCTTGTGTGCCGTCCTTCGGCTATTTGACACAGAGCGTGCTTCGCCGTGGACGAAATTGACCAGATGTCGCCGTGCTTTCCATAAATGATCTACATTGATACGTTGTGAGCAGATCTGATACCGAGCTACTCATAGAACTGGCATGTTAATAAAAAAAAAATCTTGTTAGTATCCATTTTACTGGAATCGCGACGAGTCGTAGCGGATAAAAACGTCTCATTAAGATGCGAAACCATTCGTGATAAACAAACATCTTTACACGAATTCTCTAAACATGTGTCGTCGATTCTGTTCAAATAAGAGAAGTGGTCAAACTAGATGATCAGCGCGATGTCGCGACATACATTGACGCTCCAATATTCCTACGGAAAATTTGCTTTTTTTTTCGATGCAACCAATGACTCCAAGGTAAAATACTTTCTGCTAGCGGAAAATGTGACACAGGCCTGAGATAGTTATTTAGATGAGAAGAAAACGGTTAAGCAACAAACTGATTCAGTGAAGTAGTAATTCATTAAGTAAACCATAGAACCTGCTTTTCAACACAGAAATACGTGTAGCAAAGTTCACTGAACGGAGGCAGTTTTTGGTCTCTTAAAAGCGTATCGAAACTTCGAGATTTAGCAAGGGGCGGCAAAACCAATGCTTGACTGTCGCTTTTCAAAGGTAGTTGGTTCCTTTGTATCGTAGTGAGTTAGAATAAATACCCTCGTTCAGCTTGAGAAGTTATCGCAAATTCTGAAATAAGAATAAGTCATATGCTAACTGCATACTTTGGTAAGAGAACTCTTTGAAAGTTATCCCTTTGATTATATTGGCATAATGCTCTAACGCATGACTACATAACACGTTTCTACGATTACAGCAAGGTTGTAAAATATAAAGTCAATATCAGCTCTAAAGTTAACAATCGGTTTTTTGGCATTTGGCGGTTTTTGGACCGATGTTCACACAAGAATACCTTTTCTTGCTAATAAATTAAACAAATAAGGTCACTCGCACAGCTAAAATTAAATAAAGCTTGTTTTTGGACCACGGGATAAGGACTTTGATTTTTTTAGAAATCACAACGTTTTCGTGCGGAGAGCTCGAATTCATGCATGCTTTTACTGATGAAGATATTGCATTCCCATTGTAACTTGAGATCGATGCCTGCTCTAACAGAGAGCTTATGATACTACTGCCACTGTTGTAGAAGGATATCGATCAGACATCCAAAACGAGGAGCACTTAGAGGCCGCTTTTCGTGTTCTGACTTCATCTGGATCGTTCATGAAGATCGGAACACAAAGCTATTCGTTTGGGCGCCAGCTCCATTCAGACCCAATTAGTTAACCTCACCATGTGAATGTAAAAAGATTTCATAGGAACAAGCTAGCTATGATGCTCTCGAACATTCTGTTACTAGAGCAATTCGAATATTTTGTGTTTTTCCCCTTCTGAAAGGTTGAAAGGGTCGGATCTCGGCTAACGAAGCTGCCTCTTTGACTCGCTGTCAGGTGCATCGTCTAGCCGATGGCGGAAACATCTAGCTTGACATCATTGAAGAAAATAAATGAACAACCTTGACCTGTAGCGTGAGACACGTTGTACATACTCTAATTGGCATCGATTCACTGTTCGTACTGTATTTTGTGCATTTGCTAAATAGTGGCAGATCTCCACAGGGGGGTGGACAAACAATATATTAACTAAACTTTACCTCCAAACGACGAGTCCAGTAAGCACGAAAGCCGTTGTCATTAATCCGTTGCTAGTATCCTTTTTCGCAGTTTCAATTTGTAATTGTTCCGTATAATACAAGTACACAGACTGTTCTAAGCAAGAATATATCCGCTAATCACGTTGGCTTAAGGTGGCAGTTTCCTAGAGACACATTCAAGACGAGTGGTTTTCGTCACGCGTTGTCAGAAACTGAACTTCTTCACCTGTAAGTAAATCTTACTTGGGCTTCACCACTGTGCCACACGTCCGCTTCGGCCTTCTGCAATAGTTCAGAGTTTGCATCACGTCATCAGAGCGTCTACCGTGTAACTATCTCAATACTCAACAAATGTAGTTTAACTCGTTCCGTTGCGATGATAGCCTTCCAACGTATTTTCTGTTTAATTTCAGCTAGTTAAATTTCCCGTTAAGAATCACCGCTATTCCGACTGACTGTTGCGGCGCCAATTCAGCCTTTGCGCTCCGAAAACGGATCGGACCCACCGACCCATCGTACAAATCAGAGACTGGACGAGTTGGTTTCTGTCACCCGTTCGTCAGCGCCACAATACCGCACAGCACTCCGGAGCGCCGCGGCAAATAGCAGTAGTACCAGCAACACTTCTTACGAGCGACTGCGTCCCATAACCACTGCCTAGCCAAAAGCACTCACTAAGTAACAACTGAACAGACGCCGCCTGGGGCACATGGAGCTCTTCTGTCAGTCGGCCTACTATTCTACCATCGCTAGCATGCGAGAAGCACAACAGCGCGAAGACCCGAGACGAGGAAGACGAACACCTAAGCTACCCGCGGATGAGCAGCCCGCGGTTGTTGTCCCGCTCAATCTTCGGATCTGGGGAGAAGGCTGTCTGAGAGAGGGCGAGAGCGACTGAGAGAGTGGTAGACACCAACAGAGAGAGTTCGGTCTTTTCGTCGTGGATCTTTTTGTAGGCATCGAACGACAGATGTAGATGATGCGACTCGGCTGTGAGAGTCTGTAATCTGGCCGATAGTAAAAGAAACTGATAGGGAGAAAAAGGGGCTTATATGAAAAAAAAAACCCGCAATTTCGATTTTTTATGTTCTATATCATTTGAGAATGGCTTTAGTATTAAAAGCTCTAATATGGTCTCTTAGATATAATGACACTTAAAAATGATTGAATATCTAAGAAATATCTACATGTTTTACTTAAAGAGAGCGGACATGAAGTCGTTTTCGGTTACATTGTGACCTTTATCTTTACCATAATACGTGTTCCAATATGATTTGTTACCCTAGAATTAACAAACAAATGACTGTGTACCTCAAGCCTCTTCTAAATATCTTGACTATATTAGGATAATGTATCTTAAACAAGCCACCGTTGCATGTTGAAGGCGGCAATTTACCTCAAGACACACTTGTGGAGCACTTATATGCTATGTCGTTTGGTAACTGGCTGTGCGGTTTCCGTGAAGCCGTCTCCACTTTTTATATTTTACTGCTACAGAGTATGATTAAATGTTTATGTTTGACTCATTCAAGTTCAACTACAACAAGGAACGGCTCGAAGGTATTATGCGGTTTTAATTGCCTGGCTCCAATTATAGCTCATTCTCAGAGGTTTTTCGTCTTTGGCCGCATACGGTAAATAACTTAATCCTGTTCTTGTACCCGCTGCAACCATCCGTCAACGACAATAATAATAAAAATAATGTGTCTGATTACAACATGTTTTAGAAAATCCGATGGTTATGCATATAAGTACGTAAAAACGCGAAAACTGATTTGTAAAGCTATTAACCAATGGCCCCACGGTCAACCATCGCCCACAAAAACCTATAAACCAGATATAGTTCACCATTAACGCTCCAAAAGTTCTTACTTTTGTTCATCTTGGCCTTCGCCCACGTCCTGGTCCGGTGCCTTAGGCAGTTATCCGGTAGACGTTCGGAAGCTTGTTAGCGTCCGGAAAGCCTCTACCCTTTAAAGCCTGAACGACTTGAGGGCGCAAAATATACACGCGTGCGGTTTTTCTATTTTCCCCCCGTAAAACGCCTATTTTATTCGCTGCATCTGATAAAAAGGAATCGATAAAAATTGGCGGAATATTTATTTATGTTATTATACTAAGCGGTATAACGATGGATTGCGTATTATATCTGACGCTTAAACAGTTGTCTCGCAGATTTTCATTCGCGAGCATTGCATGGTATTTTAAGCAGAACCTTGCATCAGTAAGAACAGAAAACATTTTCATGGAAATACACCACACTTTATTCACTATATATATCAAGAGCAATTTTCATCTTGGTCAGACACAATACCTGATGATTACTAGGCCTTGCAGACATCTGGATGAGGTTTCCTTTTTTAGCCCTAAAGTCAGCTACAACTATTTGTTCTCGCTCCCTCTTGATGGCTGTTCATTTGACCAAATACGTCCTCTTCATTCATTTGTATCACCGCATATTATAGTTTATATAAGATAGCACTGACAATTATAATTCTAATAAAACCCATCCTTGTTTATAACGGGCTTGAAAAACACTCCGTAACGCTGTCCTTGTTACGTACGTTCGTTTGACAAGGATCAGGGCAGTCTTTGATCAACTTTGGCAAGCTCTTTATTTTAATTCACGCAATATGGATTCGACATCATCGCTCTGGTAGACCTGTACCCTCCGAATGTCGAAAGCACACATTGACATTAAAGCATATAAACGGAATAGCTAATTATTTTCTAGATAGGCTAAGATACCCCACGATCCATTGCTGTCTTATAGTTGTAAATTATTAGAGGTAACAGTACGAAGCACTTGTCAGCCGGTCGAAATAAACCGTAGCTTATGACCTGATAATATGATAATAAGATATATATACATATAACAATGCATATAAATAATAATATGATAATATCACTTGATAATAGTTATTTTTATCCAGCACTTAGCAAGTTGACGCGAATTAGTAAAGAACTAAGTCAACGATTCCAGTATCGGCGTGTTGCACATACATGATACGCACACGGTGATGATTTTAACAATCAAGTGAACGTAGGAATTATTTCGAAATTAAATGGAATAACTTTATCGAGCGGTGGATTTTTAAGACAAAACCATAGTTTTAAAAATGATACAAGAAATGATATCGGTAGGAATGATGATTTGGCATGTTTCATAATGGGTGTTCATACGTCCGTTCCTTTCCCTTGAGCAAAGAGCTTTCCTTCACTGTGAGTTAATTAGTTCCCTGTTAATCCTATTTTGTTGACTGAGCTGACTCTGCCCTGGAGGGCGGTGAGGCTTTCTTTAGCCGAGCACATTTAACCACTGATGAGAGTAGTTTAACAAATCCGGTGTCCTTGGGCTTTTCCAGTCCTCGATGCAACCGTTCCTTCATTACTGAGACAAATTCTCTGTTGCTAAGCTGACCGTCCACTGAAATCCAGGTAGGCAATAAGTCCAGAGGATCAAAAAGATTCGTCAGGGCACATGATAAGGAATAAAAGTATCTAGGTCACATGAGGCATAATGTGATTCCAGCGCCAAAATAGCTATAATAATGACGATGATGATAAGAACAATCATACCCTCAGAAACAAGAGTTCGCAACGCAGGATCGATGTACGGCAAATCATACAAAAAAAAAATCTTACTTTATATACACGTCCGACCTAGACGCTTATAGTCAATGACTCCTATAGTGATTATGTTGCGTAGAGCATTCGTATACACGTACTGTTTTCGTCGAAGAGGGCAAAGAGCACGTTTACCACGTGATCACTTAGTTCGACGTGTGCTACCGTCTGCGCAACGTGTTTCAACGTAGGCGGATCAATCGAGGCTCCTGCTATATGGTAGAAAGTCAGGGCTGTGTCCACTTCAGTAATATTATTCAGAAAGTGGAAGAACTGAAGGTAGTCAAATAGCGTGATACCCTGTGACGACTCCTTGAACAGCTGCCATGACAAAAAATTACACCAGCGTTAAAATACGCCGACAGTTCTAATCTGCTAAAAACGATGGTTAGCGACTCGCAATCTATGAGCCAAAAGAAAGCATGATAAATATTAACCTCTATGGGTACCGATTAAATAAATAACGAAAATTTCGTATCGGATATCTCCCCATGTACAACCAATTTTACTAGTTAGTTACGAAGAAAAACGAGAGTAATACAATTATATGCTCATATAGTAACGTAGCTTATCCAGCTAAGCAATGTTCGTTCAGTTCTTTAAAATTAAGGCAGACATGCTTTCTGCAAAGTGCCCCCTACATCCGCAAAAATCTAATATACAAGACAAATTTGCCCTACTTACCTTTTTAATTCGTTTAAGCATCCGATTCTTTTTTTTGTCATTCAGACCAGCATAGGCGACCAGCAACTCGGCAAATTCCCATTCTGGGATCTTTCCGTCAACTGGGTCATGCCGTAAAAACTGTGATGAACAAAAGGACATTATGGTACCATTTATTTGATATCATTACTCCAACTCAACGATTATTATTATAAGCTAGCCCATGTGCGGTAAGTGCAGGCAAGGTGCGTCGGCGCCGAATTGGTACTGGCCCGTTATGTCACTTTTTGAATCAGGCCTGATTCTAATCATGATAATAATGACCAATGTGGTGTCGTTAGCTCACTAGACGTAGCCGCTTTAACGTGCTTTATGCAAGGAAAATGTTTTTTACAAAATGATATAAATAATAACAATTTATTTGCGTAGGAGGTGTCAGTGAAGCTGATAGCGATGTTTCAAAATGCTGTAAAGTTCACAAGTACCTCCAATGTGAGTATCTCCGTTTGCAACTCTCGTTGGAAGTCCAAAAATCTGTCGACTGTTAGTTTCTTATCGAGGTTCTCTCCAAAGAAGAATGTACATAACGCCGAAGACACGCCCTTGTAAATGTTCCCTGTACCCTGGTGATCGCGATGGCGACTTCCGATGCTCGTCTGGTTACGAATAATAGCTTGTACCTGCGGAGAGAGCAATATCATTTGTCAATAGATTGCATCCAGATCTGCTATCATCCATATTGCCTCATCTGTTTGGGGTGTTTTCTAGCTTGTTCCGTAAATAGATTCGTTTGAGCTTTGTTTTAAAATGTTCACCTACTAAACATTGAACGTAATATATAGGACCTGTGAAGACGCGGCTTGTGCTAAGCTATCGAATAAGCTTGCAGCCTGTATTGACGAAGTAAACGTGCAGACACTTGCTAACCTTTTCGAATTCGTCGAAGTCGATGTCACCATCTCCGTTTAGATCGATCATTCGAAACGCAATTTCGAAGTGCCTCTTTGAAGCTGAAAGGATCGTCAATAGGAAAATATAGTCGGAAAATGAGATGAGGCCTGAGGCGGAAAGGCGGTAGAAAACGCTGTTTTCGGACATCCCCTCGAACGGCGCAGGGAATGCGGAAAAATTCGGTGTCACACAGGAATTATTACCTGTCGAGATATTCTGTACGAGGAACAGACAATGAATATCGAGGCAGATTTTTAACAAATATGATACATACGAAAAACTTGTTACTGTCATATATTTATTTACTTCACTTTACTAATTGTATTGTTGCTAAGCACGGGTAAACGCAATCGTGTTTTATTGTCATGTTTTACCCGACTTAAATAGAAACCAAGCTTACACAGATGCTGTTAACCATTGGCTGCTAACATGAAGCCTCGTTTATTATTAATGGTGGGCATATGACAACAAGCGTGTAGTTGAGCCCATATTCTCGACCTTAAATAATCTACCTTTACCATCTAATCTGATCGATCCCCAATTAGTTGGGGCAGTTTTTCTGGCATGATGCAAGCATAAGCCACCTACCTTGGCATCGATTTTCTTGTAGTGATCCAAGCCATAGCCCTGTGGTTGCATGATGCCAGGCGTAATAGAGCGTAAGAAATCCTGAGGCGTCATAAAAATCTCCATCTGGGAAAAAGAAATTGGGTCATGGTGTGCAAATGACAAAGCTCTTTCTTCCAATGGGTCATATTTGAAAGAGCTTTCGTACATAGCTTAGTACACAAGTAGTGGAGAACCACAAGCGTGTGACTGAAAAATGAGGTCAAAATTGTCTTGTCGGCTGTGCCCAGCTGTCTGGTTAACGCACCTCACCGTTCTCGTATTGGACCTTCACGGAGGCGAAGTAACGGAACAACTTATCGGGCGTTGAGTACTGACGCATTCGGTTTTCATACTCGATGATCTACGGAAATGTGGGAGACAACAGTGGACGGCAAAAAGTTAGATATCCGAATAATTTGTATTTTTGACTAAACAAACAAATAATGATCTCATTCGAAAACGAGAAAGTCACCCATAAACAGGCGTTGGATTAAGTAAAATTACCCTACTGCCAAGCATTTTATACACCAAACGCTCTTGATATGTGATAGATTAGTCTGTGCGTATAGACATATTGCATGAACTATTCTGGAGCCGAACGATGTCTGGATCCAAATTTAAGTTTTTATAATCTCCAGTCGCACCGTAACTAGTAAGTGTCTTGCTTCCATTACCGCTAATTTGAGGCAAATCGACCTTTTCAATGAGGTAAAGTAAACTTCAATGATGTCAACAGTTATAATAGCCAAAAAATGAATTATTTAAAGCCGTTTGCTCTGATTATCTAGGCTACATGTTGCGCGCACGGTAATGCATCAAGGGCCAGCGCTCTTATACGGCGCAAGCCGCCTGACCTAACCTAACCTAAGAATCTTTAGGGCGCTTTCTTTTCAGGTTGTTCTATTTTTGCAAGTCTAATTAGTGCTCGTAAAGGGGCCTACAAGAGACTCTTCACAAAAACAAAATGCCTGTCGCATTAATGACACCGACCACAGTATACAGAGGCGTGATCATTTGACTCAGTGCCAAAGAGTAGGCAGGAATACTGAAAAAAACAAGACCGAGCAGTTTGTCTAGCTAACGCGGCCTAGACAGTTCCCATGGGACGCTCACTATGAAAAACCCATTAGACGATACGTGTCAAGAAAAATTGCGACAGAGCGTTATAAGTGGGCTTACTGAGATGAAACGTCGCACACCCTACGATCTCTAGCAATGGAAGCGTAAGAAGACAACGAACGGCACTATAGAACACTATCTAAAAATCTCTGAAAATACTGCTTCTACTGAAGTAATAGTCATAGTCCCAATGGCAATAATCATTTACTGTTCATTCCTCATATAAAAAGTGTCCTTTCAAAATAAATTGGCAGGAAATAAACAATAAGAGTAGTCTCGTCTATCGACACAGACAGGATCGAATTAATGATAAACATAAATAACTAAATTCACGGAATCTTCACTATGCATGAAAATTTGCTTTGTTTCACTAAGCTTCATTGCTTCGTCTGTTTGGTGTAATCATTCATTAAGATTTATGCTCAATTAGCTTGTTGCCAAAGCAAACATGCCTAATCTGTACACAACAGAAGAGATACGATTTTGCAACACAGATGCGCGAATACAAGTATTGAATTCTAGTAACAGGCCCTTAAAAATGAGACAGTTCAAGGGGTCATCAGTTCAAAACCGGAATGCATCGTCTCTGAAAAAAAAAAATGCGAAATCACAGATGTCCCACCAAGCCACTGTCAGACTCCAATCGCAAAATGTACTACGGTATAATTATGCGTACACACGATCACGACTATAGTTCTTAATAATCACCTTTCTATCACGAAACCCCGGCTTATTTTTCTTCGAACAGCTCTCCTGTTTGGACGATTTGTCGTCGTCCTTTTTGCCGTCGAGGTTTTCAGGTTCGGGCTGCACTACATTGGCATTCTCCTTCGTTGGTTTGCCTCTGGACTCCGCCTCGTTGACGAGCGGTAGCAGTAGTTTAAAAAAACCATGTTTCCTTTAAGTGGATAGGAGAGAACGTGCGAACTGATTCAGACACACAAGTTATTTATGCTGGTCCACAAAAACACTTCGCGGCGTAAGATACCCTAACAAAGGCATGCGACAAAAAATACATCGGATGAGGTAAAATGAAACATTAAATACACGTCTGAAGTATGAGGTGTAAAAGTCTGAGTATTGTTCAAGATGGACGCGTTCTCTTTTCTTATAATAGATGCTTATCTAATTAACTTTGCAATGTATGTATTATAAAGTAAACCACGACGACAATAACAATTAGTATTGTCTGTGATGGATGGTTTTTTCTATTTATTTCATTTACTAAACGCTTGTCGGTTATTCCATGCGATTGCCTTTGACGTTAACGTCGTGCTAGTGACGTTAAGGTCGAGTTGATTTAGACATAAAGATAAATTACTCTGATTCCGAACCGTTGCTCGTAGTATCTGCTCTCTTAGATTCGTTGTAGAATGGCAGTAAGTATGCTATCTCGCATACAAATTGTTCCTCTGATAGCGCACAAGAGATCTAGGTTGATGGTCGCTTGAACTCCTGCTATGATGTGCAGGCAATACCGTCCGTTAGAACAACCGAAATAGATGGATTCGTTGTGGCAAAGCACACATGTTTTGGCTGGGCAGGTCTAGGTAGAAATGGGTCCGAGAGTAGCGCGTCTATGAATACTATTCTATACAAAGTTTATATAAGACAGACCGAGAGGCATCATCAAGCTTATACGGTACTGAATTACGACAGGATATTAATTAGCACTATTCACCAGCATAGCTTGCGCTTGTTCAATTGAAAAAGCTTGTTTTTCTTCTAAATAAATCGTCATCCCATACCAGTCATTCTGTGACTGCATTTAAATTGTAGCTTTAATTAACCCATATTCTACTAGTACGGCGTCTCTAGCTGTCATATTATGAAACGAGACGTTTATAAATTAATGATAATTTGTTGTGTTTCCTCTACAACAAATAGTAGCACACGAATAATAGCTTTTAACGAACCAAACGAACCACCAGGAACGGAATATATTTACAGATTCTAACGTAGGAGGCAGCCTCGCTAATTGAATCCGCCTAACTAGCAGATACCCTAGTAGAGACGAAATAAAACCTCATACGACAAAGGTTTGTTCTATTAACGACAATCATAGTTTAGTTATGCTGAAGATATAAGCTAAAAAACGAAATTGTTTTATTCTCTCGCCTGACCTGCCCCTGATGGCCGGCAATGACTAATTCATGTCTTTTTTACTGTGGCAATAGTTGTAGGAATATCCTGACTGTACACCATACGCCTACCCATCTGTCCTAGACGGAGTGTGTCCCGAAGCCACATTTTGTTTTTCTGTTCGATCTTCCCTGTTTTTGCTCGAATGTACTAAGGCGTTCTTTGAGGAATCCAGCATTGAGGGGATGAGAAGCGCACTATTCGCGTTCGATCTTGTTTAAACGCCTGTGTTGTTTCGGCTGAGGTCCTGAAGCACAGTCAGCTCCTAAGTAGCCTTCCACCTTTTGAAAATCCGCTTCTAAAATTACTGCCAGTGTTTCGCTTATTTTTCAATATCCTGCTCTCTCACAATAAAATATTGTTACAAAAAATTAAGACACTTAAGATAGCAGGGCTAAAATGTCATCCCTTGCATTATATTCTAACCGTACACGAGTGAACACAACGGTATACGCCTTAGGTGAGGCAGATTCATGATTATTGCCTGAACAGATCCTAGTAAAACAGTGGACAGCACCGTCGACTTTCTGGAATTGCACCTACCCATCTCTGGTGTCATGTGCAAAGCATGCGCCAGCTGCAATGGCTCCCGTAACAGCGGTAAGAATTCGCAGCGTGAGCCTCTTTTGAGGCGACCGGCCCGAATTTCCACCGCGGAAATTACCGCTGCATCGTCTCACCTGAGACCCACAACGAATGCTTTGGCTAACCACTTTGCGGAACATGGTTAATCACCAGATAGTCAGTACCTAAGCGCACGTGGCCGTCGGGACCTTCGAAAAATGACTACGATCGATTCACTCGTATATCCTGGATTCTAAACGGTAGCTTCAGCAGGCACAATTGTCAATAGGTTGATAGGCTCTGTCCGCCTTCGTCTCTCTGATCGCCTTCTGCAGTGGCTTAAACGTAATCCTCCGAAAAGTTTCCACAACAGAAAATCACCAGCATCTCTGTTTGTTTAGGCCCATGGGATTTGTGCCACAGTGACAGAGGGCTCCACTTTTAGGGTACCAATATATGGGGGGAGATGGCTGTTGGCGGAGAATTGGTCAAGTAAAAGAAGTCTCCATAATAGGACCCGCGAGGTGCTCGAGGCTATTCGGTCCTCTGGTGCGGCTCCTATGGTACCGTATAGGAATGTAGCGGCTGCGGGCGATTCTTCACAAAAGCCAAATGTGTCGGTAGGAGGAACTTGTTTCTATAACTCACACACACACAAATCCTTACGTTTCCCGTTTGAAAAGGCTTCGTCGCTAATACTTTTGCCTATTACTGTGAAACAATATCTATATTTGTTTTGTTTTTTTATCTTTATATATGTATTGAATCAGTTGCAGAGCTGTTGAGTATCTGCGGCATTCGGAAGACTCGAATAATGGTTGATCAGACAGCTTGTTTCCTTCTCCCATGGCAAGCGTCGTCGATTGGAGAGGAAGGGAAAAATAGCCTAGGAGGCCTACGGAAAGAGCAGAAAGCTTACATCCTCCGTGTCGGATTATCCCTGCGTAGTGGCACTATAGCAAAAACAATTTAACGGAAATCTCTTTCTCTTAAAGTATCAGAGTGTACAGCTACCACAAGTACAACCGTTTCTTATATCTTGTTGTAAGCTGCTAATGCTGTTCGTCCTTCTTAGGCCAACAGACTGGGCAAAAGTAAAGGCGTGTGTTCAAATAGCTATTGCAGTGATTCTTATTCGACAGCCAATGAACAGTATCTCTTATCTAGGCCCTATGAACGCGAGATTTTATCCCGAGCACAGTTTGTTAGACCGTAAACAAATTGGATATGCGACGCATGCGCAAAGCAGCGCTTTAGTGGCGAGAGACAACTGCGGGACGACAGAGGATCAAAGAATAGGCCACTTTATGATTTGGCTAATGATGAGGCGGAAACCGAGCTCCAACCAGAAACTGAATAACGAGGTTAGATTAGATACGTCTGAATCTACGTCTGAATCTACGTCTGAATCTACGTCTGAATTACCTTACGCGCTATCGATGTTCAAAGTTAACTCTTGTTTCAATTCGGCATTGAAGTAAAATGTCATTTTGAATGTGACACTTCACTCCTTTTACGTTTCAAATTATATTACAGGAGGACCTATTAATGAAATAAGGTATTGAAGTTTACGATTTTTGGTCGCAGCTGTTAAACAATCTCAAAGCCCGGATATCTTCATTCACCACCGCGTAGCAACCCTCTCTAAAGGCTGAACTCATTGGTTTATTGTATACCCGCCAGCTAAAACTAACGTTTAAACATTTTGGATAAATCGCCAAGTATACTTTCTGGGTTTTGTTCTTGCTCTGGAATAATACATTAGCGTAAACGTGTTTCGTACATACCCATCTCCAGAAAATTGACAGTGGATCGGTATAGAGAAGATCTTGAAGAGGTGAAAACGGATAATACCAAAATTGTAAAATATTCTATATGATACATATTATCAATGACATTCGCTGCTGTATGGCTGAAATAGTTCAATACGTTCGATAATTATAACATTCAGAGAACATACCCTTTAAATAATTGTCAATAAATGCCTAGATTTATGATAGTTAAAGAAAAATATCGGGAAAGAGAATCAGTTAGAAGGAAAAATACGTTAGCTTTTCAATATGTATGAATATGTCCAAAATTTGCCCGACGGCAAGGCTTGATTGAGTGTTTCGCAGTGTACGTTTGGGGTACTTTCGTTAAGGCTTGCGTGATTCAAATATTTCATTCATCAGCCATGCAGACACGGCGGTATGAGTGATCACTGGTTTATCGGAGCTAAACGACGATTATTGAAATATTGTGCATTATAGGCAATAGTGTTAGCCCTAATGGAAGCAGGGTGACTCGCTAAAGGCCTGCCTCTAACGAACTAAGCTCTGAGGTGAGTTCGGAGACAGCAAGTGAGCGAAAGGGTGACGTCCTCATGGCATCGTCGTATGAGTTCTGTCATTTAACTTCCCTCGAGTTCATTGATCGTGCGCTCGTATCTTTATTTAGCGATGAGTCGAGTGCCTGTTTTAAAGTCTGACCTGTTTTGGCCTTGGCCACTTTCACGTTAGCGTTAGAAGCAAGGCTAAGTTATTGCAGAGGTGGCGCCAACGTTAATCGTGCAGTGCAGTGCATTGCGTTCACTCTCAGTTAGATCTGAAAATCCCCTCAGTATAGTGGTAACTATTAGCGCTACTGATGACGCAGTGCAAAAATGTAAGCAGTTAAAGTACTTCTGTATTCGCTGAGTTGGGTGGGTCACGGTGAGCGCGTTTCTCGCTGGGTAGGTTTTTGTGACAGATAAAGTTCTCTTGGCAATGTATTCAAACTAGCACAATTTCATGCAGAAGTCTATACTGAGGTGGAGTGGCTTAGTGCAACAATTTTCGGTACTGAAAATACCGTGAAGTGCTACTGAAACTGTCCTAGCATCTTAAGGAACATCGCACTTTCGTTTCATAGTATAACATTATATTACGATGGCAGCTGATATAATCTGCTCGAATCTGAGTACGGATCGCTCACAGCTGATTGAACTGTATCTTAAAAATCGGAGTTCGTGCTCGATGTTAACGAAAATGGATACCCAATGCTACAGGTAAGCAACGGTACAGAAGCCATACCTCACGACCTCTATTATGCCCCTTCTTACATATAAAAATGGTAGAGATTCCCTTAGTTTTACCAATAATATTTTCAATACTAGCATCTATTTATTATAGCTCATTAATTATTCGTCGCACATAAATTAAACACCATTTACAAATTGCCACCCCCTTTTAGAATTTCATTATGAGAACGTTTGACGTCATTAAGTTTCACCATTAAATCTTCATTCTTATCATGGTCGATAAGATAATATCATTGCCGGTATGCAGTCGAGCAGTGGGCAGCAGCAAGAAGAAGTCTTCGTTATATTTAAGTAATAACTTAATGTTACGTGGAGTGGAAAGTTATTCCACGTAACTTATTAAGTATCAATGTAACTTACACTTTACATTTGTAACCTGCAATTTTCTTTTTTAAGCCAAACGGTCAAAATGAACATCTGCAAGACTCAAATCCTTTTTTATCCGTCATAGTCTGCTAATTAACTACTCAATAATTATTTCCAAACTCTGAGCCCTCTTCAAAGGATTTTGCGTTTTTAAATCGGATTTCTATAAAATTCGTTATATTACACCTACACATATGTTAGTAATGGTAGGATATGAGCGTTTTTATTATCGCCATTTTATAACGATACTTGAAACACGGGCAAACTAAATGTTTAAGAACACTGTTAATGACAATGAATCACAAATATGAGTAACTATCAAGAGAAATCTCCGTATACATTTCGAAAACTACATGACAATTACAGATATTATCTATAACGTTAGCTAAATTTCTTTTGGACCACTGCATTTATTAGTTTTCGAAAAGAGTTTTTCTCACACGTGTACAATTTCAATATGTCTACCACGCTATCTCTAATGATTCTGCCTTTACACATTGTCAGTACATATAGACAAAAAAAAAATAGTAAATTGATTATGTACTTTTACAAACGTAAGTAACGATTAATACTTTCTCCACCGCACAATAATAATGATAATAACATTCCATTCGCGTAGACTCGTCGAGGTCGATACGCCACTATCCCCCCAAAGAGATCTGGTCGCCAGTTTCAATGACGTCGAAAGCATGCGCATTAAGGCAAATGGGCCGGGATCAGCCCCTGATGCTATTAGCTCTGGCGCCAGTTCGACGCAGCCAAAAGCATCAGCAGAAGCGCCTGCAGCAACAGCGCCGCCGACCCTGCCAATGTTTTGGTCCTTTACTGAACCATCCGAGTTCCTCAAGCGTCACCCGACAGGGCAAAACTCGCGCACTCTGCCCGATTTGAAGGTTGGTCTGAAACCTAAACGACGCCGAAGACTTCCTGAAATACCGAAGAATCGAAAACGTACGTACCCATACAACATTGATAGAACCTTTGAGGAAAAGTACGCGTGAGACGAACACAACTAAGTTAAGCTTCTATATTATCAGAATTAATCCTATCCAGGCAGAGAGTTGACACCATATGTGCCGATAATGCAGGGATTTACTAATGTTTGCATTGTCTATAATCTTAATTGAGCTTTTCGGATGTGGTTCTCGGATCTTTCAGCATTGCAAGGACTGAGTCTTGCGGAAGAGTTTCAGGCGATTGACTCAAACTTACTCGTCACACCATTTTCCTCGCAACTTTATTTGGAAATTGACACGTCAGGACAAGAGCCTCGGTCAACGTTTCGGTTAGTGAATTCTGATACAAACACTATACTGTATGTATGGTGAAGCCGAAGTACACATTTGTGGAAACCGTTTAGGTATGTAGATAACACCAATTTTTGACCGGTGACGTCCCGTCCATATGGAAAAGAAGCCTAATAGGCCAAAAGCCTACTAAAGGACAAGAGCCTTAACGATGATATATTAGGCTAAATTATCGCATGAAAAAACGGTTCGTGTTTCGTAGATAAGGTTCAAGGAGGGACCTGGACAATAAAAATTTAATCAGTTCATCGCGGGTTTATAGACAAGCTTTCAAGTAGGGTGGCACGAATGGGACTGATGACGCAAGACCTTTAAAAGAGCATAAAGAAATGAAAAATTTGTGATCAAATCTGGTAAAAAGCAATTGAATATAGATTGCTGAATAGCTTGTTGCCTTAATTTTTAACAACTACACATACTACGTTTCGTAGGACATCTAAATAATTATATGGCACAGCATCGTTCCTCAAAATTTACACAATCTGTATGTTCAGAAGCGCGCAATTCTTCATTAAGGGCCCGTACTAGCCTACCTAGATTCCTATTCAGATAGCTCTACGTTTACCTCTATAAAGCGCCTGTTTACCGTTGTTTACGTTTATCAGGCTGTAATGTATTTAGACAAATCGTATATCAGTTTGCCCTAGACCACCATGTTTAAATTCAGCTTTAGCAATTTACAAGTTTCACGTAGCTCTGCAGTTAATCGTAGCTCCGGTTCCACAGATGACGGGCCACTATATTGCGATACAGGCGTGTAGAAATATTTATATAACTTTATATATAATAATATATAATATTTATATATGTAACTCGGTATTATGTGCGTATCGATAATGCAAAACAGGTACTACTCAAACACTATGACAGAAAAATCTTCAGTCCGGGAAGGCCATACGAACTGTGGGAGCGAAGAATATAGGTCGTCTCAGCAGAACAGTGATCAGCAAACATCACGAAATATTGACGTCGGAGATGTCGTAAAGCAGCCTTCAGGAAACTCTGTCGCTTTGGAGAACTGCAGAAACCTTTCTAAAATATTGGTAGACCCCGAACCTGAAAAAGACAGTGGGCACTCCAGCTCCTCATTGTCGTCACCATGCAGCGCCCTCTGTGGGCCGCTTGCGCGGCTTTGCATAGCAGACGCTACCCATCGCGGTACATAACTTGTTTCAGACCTTATTTGCAACTGACCAGTTGCTAATAAGCCCATTATTTAATAAGCCCATTATTATTAGTTTCTATGACAAGAACAAATTGGACGCCAAATTTTTTTTTTTTTTTTTTTAAATATAAACTGCACAATGGCATACGACTCAGGTTTATGCGTTGGATTTGCAGACTAATGTTGGGTCAGCGCACAATTCAATTAAGGGAAATGACCTTTGAAAACGCACGTGATTGGATTTAAACTGACAATTGGTTATAAGCTGTATTCTTTATCAATATGGTACAATATGTCTCTATTTCCCTTTGCGGATTTTCAGGAATTCATCGATTTGTACCGAGACATGGAGATGAGCTGGCTATCGACTTAGGGGATCCAATTTATGTCATAAGGTAGGTGTAGTCGCCATTAGAATACTAATCAACTATTTTATCTATGATGTGTCATTAACCAGATACTGATACTTATTGTAGACTGCTAAAGGGCAGCTTTACGTTGTAATATACTGATAAACTTGAAGAAGGCTTTACAATAATTGCAATACAGTAATTAAACTGCCCTTCTGCATATTTCTATACAGAGTTTGACTCAGCTAGTTAACGCTTAACAATTGTTTCTGCCTTTTTGCTTGATGTTCTTTTCGACAGAGAATGTTCTATCGAAGACAGTTGGTGCGAAGGAATAAATTTGGCTACAGGACGAAAAGGCGTGTTCCCGCACGCTTACATCACCGATGTTGACTACTCTGAGTTCAGTCAAGGTGACCACGCGGCTTGTGAATGAAGCTTAGCGGTGTTTTCATTGCAGTCTATAGTGAAAAACACGAAACTGAAAGTCCACATACTTTTTTTTCAATACTCAAATTATTAAGGAACTTTGAGGCAAGATAATCGCTATTGTGAGATAACTTGTTATATCGATATATTCGCATTTCAGACAGCAGATTGGTTTTGCGGCGCGAACGTTTCCTGCTTCATTTTCTTGGTAGCGTCGAAGTTTCCAACCATCGAGGAAACAACATTTTGTGTCAGGTAAATTTGACTTCTCGCTGTCAAGTCACTATGTTCCTAAGGCATTTTATGAAAGGAAATCGTATACTTTTCTCGTTATTAAAGAATTATTATATAACGTTGACACAAGAGATCCGATTGCTTAGTGCAGCAGCCCAGCCCATTGTATGCGTATTTTCACACGTAGATGTACGTATTAACCTACTTGGTCGATGTGAACGTCGGCGATTGTTTTTAAATTATAACAATTTCTCATTGAGTTCTTTAGACTATCATAGGTATCTTTGTTTGTTTACCTTACGTTACGCTGGAATGTTAACGAAGGCGGGCATTTTAAAAATTCATGCTTAATAGGCAATTCGAAAGTTGATTCGTGAGGGTAACAGGGCTCAACTAAGGGCTCGTATCGAAAACAAGTTGTCAACAAAATATGTGAAAGAAGTGGGGTCCGCGTTGGAAGTCGATTCTGAACAATCTGGCATAACACAGGCTGAAATCGAGGCTGAAATTAAAGCACGAGAAGGTGTGGAGAGCTCAAAGTCGGAAAGCTGGTCTAACTCTATTGAGCAGGCATGTATCGGTAGCACAAATTCTGTTATGCTACAAATAATCACAGTATTTCTGTGAAAACGTATAAATAAATAGCTAATTAATATTTTTACAAAAATCCATAACTTCGAGCGATGATGGTAATTTTTATCATGAGCATCTTAGGATTAGGCGGGCTGACAGTGTGATGATATACATTTTCAATGATTAGGTGCTTGGGCATTCGTGTGTATTGGAGATCTCCGAGGAAGGTTTAAGAATAGTTGATCGACGAACGAATCAGGTATTACGTGATATTCTGAACTCTCGTTGGTAGTTATTTCATAAGCCTTAATGACGTTATATTTAGAAACTACTACTACAGACCTATACTATTTTTTGCTACGAATAGCTATATTGTGTACTATTCATATGAACGCTAACCAATAGATGCTTTCAACGAGTCTCGTAAATGTACACTCTTTGTATGCGCGGATCGGGATTGGACCACTACTAAAAAGCAAGACTATTTCTTCACTTTGAAGAACGTCACTTTCTGCGGATACCATCCCACCGATCACCGGTAGGCTATAAATGTACTATGCAACTTCAGCTATTATAAGCAAACGCAAGATCCACAAAGGCTACAGCACAGATCTGCACAATAAGTTAATGAAAATAGTCTACGAGACGAATTTCCAAGAAAACTCACTATCGTAACGTGGCGCGTATTTCGTTTTCAATTATTCGTTGCCTTTTCAGCTATCTGGGATTTATCTCGAAACATCCGTTATTGTACCGTTTCGCGTGCCATGTTTTCTTCGCGGAGGACACTGCTCACGATGTCGCTACCTCAGTCAGAGCTGCGTTTGAGCGCTTCTATCGCCGATTTATGGACGTCACATTTCCTACCGAGGATATCTACATTGACGATCCAGCTGTATGAACAGCATCCACAACAATAAATAAGAAAACTATTTTTAGCAACGAGGTCCAAATTTGGTAACATTTTAACGTTTGTACCGAACTTAACGAACAACTTAACTTTAACAAAAAAGATGTTAAAGTGCTTAATAATACATAGTAGAGACTGCACGTAGATCCTCTGTATACGACAGAGAAGACTGTCAAAACTATATCGTATAACAAACGAACCCTGTGAACGCATCGCTCATCATCAAATAGGGGCCGTTGTGTCCATAAAGCCATCAGCTGAGCGCATCTAGACAACGTCCCAGAATTAACTACACAGCTTTTGAGCGTTAGCGACAATTTAAATAACGGCAAGGGCCACTCTAAAAGTACATATTAGGCTATCCAAACATATTGCTTTTTGCCAAATGGCTCTGCAGGTAGAGAGTGATTTTGTACTATGGACTTTGAATCTCACCGAAATACCGTATAGGTTCGGGTGCTCACGATGGAACTAAAGTCTTAAAGCACCCTTGTCTAAACATCTACATACAACGGTCGCTATAGTAAGTTGTCATTCTTAGCTAGTACTAATTTAGGTCCCTTTTGTATACTGTAACCTCGACTCTGCTAGGCCGCGCTAAAAGGATTTAGGAATGGGAGGACCAGTAAAAAAAGGTACGAAACCTCTATCTCCAAACCCACTTTTTGCCATTCTGGTCCAGATATCCTAAATACCCTACGGCGTTGGTAAACACAGCCACGGTCGAGACGATTGCGTCCAGTTCGTATTTTGTAGAGTTGGTCGTTAATTTCTTACTGAATATTATACGTTGCATATTACGCCGTGGTCAGCTTGTTGTAATAAATACGTCGCCGAAGATCAAATGGAACAACGTATGTAAAAAAACAACAATACATGGAGGTATGTATACTGCGATGAAGAAGGCCGGGTCCTGCAGCATTTTCTATATTATACATTCGCTAGAATGGCACCACAGGAACGCTGCTGTTTATCAATCCAACAGAATTGTTGTACCTACTTTAAAATGAATCGTGCCGAATACGTTGTTAGAAACGTAAATCTTTTTTTGGAAGACAAATGTGTGTAAATGTAAAGAACGTAAATGCGTTTATGTATATTATATCGAGAGGGCGCGTAACATTGCGCCACCTTTCAATTAGTTATTTTTTGCTCTATTAAAAACGATGATCATGTGGCTCAGAACTCCATTACGAAAATATTGCCGTATTTTTAGCCAGTTGTTATAGCTGGGATAAGTGACGTAAAATCTCGCACCCTTGTGGCAATTTCGCGCAGCTTACTTTCCATGACTAATTTCACTGATCTAAGGGGTGTTTTGGTAACTGATGAGCTAAACATACATTATTATTGGTCAGCTTTGAAATTATGTTTAACACAATCACTCAGTAATTTTTTGCAAGAAAGTCCGCTATTTAGGCTTACGGTCGCCATAATCACACTGAGTTAGGCGTATAATCACCAGCCAGAACATAAACATTTCTCAAGGGTCAGCTGACGCTCGCCAAAATAGGCAAATTCAAAAAAATTCAAAATTAAACACCGCAGGACACATTAAGGCAATCGTTTTTCGCACACACACCTTCGTCCCCATTCTTTAACACAAGGGAAGACTTTAATGATTATATATTTTAGTGGTGCTAGAGTATATTTAGACATATTTCTATAATATATAGTGAAACATTTTGTTTTTCTTGACCAGAAACCAAAATCACAACTTCGCTAGCTTAAAGTTGCGCACCCTGACGCCACCTGCCACATTGAGCTGTCCATAGTGCAGTGGTATATATATCAGCGGTGCGGTAGCGCTGGACTTCTATGTCAACAAGTGAGAATCAAGCAGCGTAGTAATAGAGAAAATCGACAGTTTTGATCTTCAGCTTCTTCTGTGAACGAAGAGTAGAAAGAAGATTAGGCAAATTACTATAAAATATCATGGTGCCCGTAATCCATTAATCCAACTAGAAATGCAAATAAACTATGAACATAACTTTATAGCGAGAAGTGTTACTATTACTGCTTAAACGATAAGATTAACCGAGATGCTTTGTCCGCTTTTTTTTTTGAGAAAGACATTTAGAAGCAAGCAAAAAAATTTTTTTTTTTCTATTTTCGAACAAGTCGGTAGATTTTACTACTCGACTGACTGGTGATGATGACTGGTACGTCTGTTCACTGGGTAACGACCGTAATCATATATACTGAATCTCTTCGATAACTTTGATTTAGATAGATAGTAGCTTGTTCGTTATTTAGGTTCAGGTTGATCCCCAGGGCTGACGTCTCATCGGTTTTTTTTAGGTTGGCTAGGTCAAAATCGACTGGACGTTTTTGGAATGCATTTTTAGGATCACATACAGGTTTTATTCTTCGATAGGTGAATGAACAGCGATAATACGTATGTTACGGCATTATTTTTTTGTTTGTTGACTTAAGGCAAAACGACTTGTCAGCCTCACACAAACATATTAGATAAAGGAAAACATAATTCCGGAATTGTGTTCTTTAGTGCATAGTCATAATGATCCAATTACATATGGTTATTCTTTTCGCCCCAATGACTTCTCCAAGGCTTTCATGTCATTTTCTTTAACCTCTATTTTAGACCATTTCCGAAACTGTGCCGCTATGCTAACAAATTTAATATACTTCGTTAAGAATAGGATATGGACATTATCTTGACCTGAGCTACCTAAAACAGATATGACAGATTACTAAAATAGGCATAATCTAGGATTGCCATTGTAGTGATGATACCAGATAAGATTAATCATTACGCTTACCTCTTAAGCCTGTACATAGACTATGAACAAGGTTGAGCTTACTCCGTTGCTTAGTTTAGGTGGATCCGCTAGTCAAGATTAATTTATAAACACAAAAGAACGCGTTATATATATACGCACTCAACAATACTCATATATATATATATATATATATATATATATATGTTGTTACGAGCGAACTCGGCAAACTTTGAAATTAAATAACTTTCTAACCATTTGAACTAAAATGTGGCTTTTTCCATATGTTTTCGAAGTAAATCTGAAAATGAGCCGATAGTGGAATATACTGGCCCACCAATTGTTTTGCCCACCCTTTGCCTCTTTTAAGACATGAAAAGCTCCTTAAAAAAGGACCTAAATCGGAAGAATAAGCAGGTTGAAGCGAGCGTTCGATAGTTGTTTACTCAATCCAGGGGTTATTAAAGCGTGGTGATAAAATCTGGCAAGTACCCAGACTGCGTGTATTCGATTGCCTCGCCAATGATTCATGGATTTCTTGAAAATCTGCAAGTAACGAACTGTATTCATTGTTTCATTTCTGGCAAATATCTCATAGTAATGAATACCCCCAATCTCCATTTCAAGCACTACAGTCACCTTATGGCCAAGCTTGCTCGCCCCTGCGACCGAACTCACTAGAGTATTCCACTCTCTCGCCAGGCCCCTTGCGACCTAGCGGCAGGGATTGAACTGTGTCTTATCTATAAAAGCCATATGTTCCACAAGGGTTTTGCGTAATCAAAGGTTCCGCAAATTGCACGTCGAATATCGCACACGCACTTCTGGTGGACCAATTCATGACAACCCATTTTTGAATCAGTTTGTACTCTCACGATTTCGATTATAAGTTAGAAGTGTTAGTTTTGGCCGACAAAGTCCAAGTTGTAAAAAGTATTTTCGATTGTAAAAATATCCTAGGGGAACTCGACCTACGAGTTTCCATAGTTTTTTTTTTATTTACGAGGGTATTTATTAGCCGAATTTCGTCCGTTAGTGGCGCGTAGAGCGCAAGTTACATCAAAGACCACTGGATTTGCCACATATATCTACATATATAGAGAAAGAAATGAAAATTCTTCAAGATAATGATAACATTGAAGCTAAGTGAAATGTCTGGAGACTTCCTGGATCGTAAATAACGATTATACAAATGCTGTAAGGAGATAAAGTATGTGAATCGAGCGCGTATCTAAATTTGCGTTCGGTCATCTTTCATTAAATGATTTTCGTTGACGAAGCGCGGACAGGACAGTCCGGTTGACGGGAAGGTTGCGTACCAGTTCTTACCGTTTTTTAATTAACAAATAGTTCACGTGTCATTTCAGTTTACTTGCCTATACAAAACATTACGTTAAAAATTACGTGAACATATATGTCTTACACCGAACAGCGCGAAAGAATATTTAGGCTATGAACTCTTACAAATCCTTACCTATTTCGCTTAAGATACGCAATGCTCAGCTGCAATAAAGCAAACAGCTGGTCAAGGCACCAGCTTTTATTGCGTCCATGTACGTATGGTAGTACTCGGCATGAACATACTCGACCGATAAGTAAAAGGACAAAAAAAAAGGCTTTCATTTATTCAAAATACCATTTTAGCTTTGCATAACTTACGATGAGAGTTTCTCATTTTATAATTTGAGTAAAACTTATTTTCCAAAAGAAAAAGTCTCACTTACTACTGTATAGGAAACTTCTCTTGAGTCTCTCTGCTAGAGTTGAGAATCATTGAGAATACTGCCATGCTCTAACGTAGACTTTGGCATTAGCAAACTTTGTGCGTAAGTTCGACTACGAGATCTTCCATGAGACATGAAGCATTTGATGAATTAATTTGATACTGTACCTGTATTGTGCTTTCTTCTTGTAGCATATTCAAAAGTGGTTCCTACAGTGCCCAGGGCGGGCATTATTGTCCGTTGCGGGGTTATCGGTCCTAAGAGGTTTCAATCCTCACCATGTAGCGATGATAATCATCATCACAATAATGATAGCACTACTAACCTAACGCGCTAATCGTGCAGGTAAAAATGTTCTCTTCTCATTTCTGCGTCGCTTTGTTTTCGCTATTACGGAAGGACTCATTCAAAACACTAGAGGATATTTCAGCATAGCCGAATCTATCTCTTTTTACAGGATAATCTTCATGAAGAGCGTAGAACCTTTTCTCAGTATTATTAATAATAATGAATTGAAGGCGCAAAATCAAGAAACAAATATTTCATATGAATACTCTGCTCAGTGGTCGAAGACCATGCTTCTAGCTAGGCTAAAAAATAAAGGAAACGCTGTATTTCCGACGTTATGTCGCGTCATTACCAGGAAGACTATGTATTATAAACTGCTGACGTTCCTCGTTACGATGAGACCTTTTTTTTCCTCTAGATAATCGGCGTCACGTTGAAGGAGCAGAAAGGAATCGACATCATCGATGAAATATGAGGGCGTGTAGGGCTGTGTCAGTATTTATCAAAGACGCTCTGGCTAAATCGGCTTCTAATATATATGTTGCAGAAAAATCGCATAAAACCATAGGTCTAACCCAGGAAGGTAACTTCAGCCCTACTCTTCTTGGTGCTTGTGAAGTAGATACCAGCGAGTGCCCGAAGGCGTAGAAACCGTGTCAAAGTAACCTAGCTTGTCAACGACCTGGTTATCCAGTAGAAGCAACCAGGTTCGCACGCGTTGGTCAGACTACGTGTGACCTGAGCAGATATTGGCTCAATCGTGAACCTGCCGAAGACAGCGGCAATGAAGTTCTAAAGGGGTGATTGAATTGTTTCCGAAAACTCGGAGACAATCCATCCGTTTCAAACCGTAGAAGCAAGTCGCCGCTCGAGCTGGGTCGCAAAGCGACAGCCAGCTGCCTAAAGCTGGCTTGCTCTTTTTTTATGTGAATGGTTCCTTCTGCTAAGGCTGCTTTGTTTGTTCAATAGTAAAAGCTTTTTGTTATATATATAGCAGAGTATTGCAAAAGCAAAAGTAGCGATGTGAACCGTAAAAAAATGTTTATCCTCTGTCGATCTTTACCGCCCCAAAACTGCCCTCGACATTAAAAACACATGGGAGGCTCACCTGTTCTCCAAACTGAAACGTATGGATCGACTCAAAGCTGTATATAGCAAGCGTGTCCTAGTGCTCCCTTGCGCGATAGAAAAAAGGGGCCTAGTGTACTTCCTCACGGAGACGTTCCTGTTCGTCGAAAACTGAAAACTTATTGAGAATCTTACTATATTTTGAAGAGCACCTCGCAGCCGTTAAGGGCGAATTTGCGGTGTATGCGCATGATCGGCACTGAACTGCCGTGTTTTAACTGGCTACGCAGTGCGCGGATTGCATCATAAACCACATTTTCATCAGATACGGGAAAGCGTACGAACCACATCTCGCGATGTCCCCACATGGTTTTAATACGGAACTTAGCACCTTTAGTCCCAACAAATATTAATTACGACCTTTCCGGAAGTAGGTTACCAGTCGCAATTAAAGTAATGCTGCAGACCTAATGTTTTCGATTTATGGAGTTCACAGTCTAGATATACAATCAGCTACAAGTTAGAGACCACAGGACAAGAAGCCGGCCGTCTATGTATCTGAAATTATCGCATTCGTTTCACGGTTGACGATCCTGGCTTTTTGACGTTAATTGTGTATTAGAGGAGAATGCAAACCTCTGATATGACCTGAAATGATAATCCGTTAGAGAAGAATAGCCTGGCCTTCTTCGACTTAGGCATTTATCGCGATTGCCAAGTATGTTTAGGCTTCGGATGTTTTTGCCGAGGATTTAAAAGTATTCTTATTTTTAACGGAAGGTGCAGTACCGAAGAGTTATATATGTAACTCCGTTTTGTTCTGAAGAGCTGCGGCTATCGTCTGCACAAGCAGGTGCAAATGATGTGACTTTTCTTTAGATTCGTGTGCATCCTGATTCTGTCTCTGTTTAACATATAGAAGACCTTTAAGTGATATTTTTGGGTGACGAAAGTGATCGACCACAGAATGGGGTTGAAGAGCAGATTATTTTATACCTAGCAAAAAACTGCATAGTCCTGAAGAATGGGCTACCCTTCCAATCACACCTTCTCCATCATATATTAAAATATCTGGGAGCAACTAGAAACATCTAACCATAAACTATACAAACAAATTACTTTCGAGCTCATTAAGCATCGGTGAGCACTATGTAAATAGCCTCAAAATCCGGTGTTAACGACGCCGTCATAAGCACGTCCGTAAGTGAAAGACTGCTCGCCGCTGAGTCGCATCGGGCATTTGTTGATCTCCCTTTCCTTCTCATTCCAACTGTAGTTTTTCTATTGCAATTTTACACAATTACAAACTCAAAATCAATGGTTTCGCTCTACCTACTCGGAAATGTCCTGTCCCACCTGCAACGCCCTCCTCAACAGTGACGATATCCTTGATGACGAGTATATGACTGATGATTGTGATCATGTTGCTGATGGTATGATTGTTGCAACAGTAACGCCCTCTCCGTTCATCTCTCTAACTCGGTCTTGCCGTTTAGGTACAGGCTTTGCCGGGTCGCTGCCTGTTTGGGGATGCTTATGTACGACGTTAATCGATAATCGAATCCGCTGGTAACTTTGCATAGCATGCGTTGTCGGCTTATTTTTAACAACGGTGGCTGAAGTGGTAGAGGTAGCATCAATGAAAACTACTTCTATACGTTTCTGAAACTGTCGTGAGAGGTTGGCTTCTCGATGAGTTCTGTAGCTTTTCTTTTTTTTTTTTTTTCTAGATATTTGTTGTCGTCATCGTCGTTGTGGTAAAAGTCTTTCACACAGTACTATAATTATGAAATAGTAGCAATATGGCTATGGTAGCGAACTGACTCCATCCTTTGAATGGGAATCCCCGCGTACACAAGCTCAGACTCTAACAGTAATTAACCGGAGTTGTTTGGAATTATTGAAGCTCCCCAATTTCGTGTTGTCAGTAATCGGTATATTCCATTGATGTCAAAGATCACCGAGTGATTACCCAGCATTATAGATAACTGCTTGTGCGTTTTGGGCAGACACGATCGCGCTGCACTCGCACAACATTTGAACGTTGCAGTCATCTGACAGTTAAACTTTGCCCGCTGGTTCACTTTTACGTACGCCATACATATAATCATTAATAATGTCATCAAATTGGTCGGTTGTCGTTTGACTTCCTGTCTATCTGTGTGATGGCCAAAGATTTCTCCATACATTTTTTCCGTTCTTTCGCATCTCACCTTGTTCGTCACACATAGCGCATAGGCCTCCCTCCTATATCGAGCGCATCGTAGGTTTGTTTGTGCGTGGTCCCTGTATCGACGCTGCCGTCATTCGCGCTCGCGGTGCCAGTGGCAGGCGTTACCCTCGCCGTGCGTTCGGACAGAACCAGAGTCACCATAGTTTGCCTCGTCTGTATCGACCTCCGTGATACATCGACCGACTAGTGCTTCCAGTAGCAGGGCGCTACTATCCTAGTGCGTATACAAGCAAACAATCTGGCAGGCATCGAAATAGATGGACGGACGGACGGACGGACCGACCGACCGACCGACCGACCGACCGACCAACCGACCGACCGACCGACCAACTGACAGATACCCTTCCTCCAAACCATGCTCGAGTCGACAGCTTACTTGTCGTTTGCCGCTTATACGGCAACTGGGATAGTGAGTCCTGTCTAGAGTTGTTCTCCCTGTCGTTCCACTTTCTACGGTGTGAGCGCGTATGAGCTGGCGTGTATTTCTGTGTGTGAACGGTATCCGCCAACCCTCTGCGCGCATTCAAGGTCGCCCTTTCTCTAGAACCAGCCAGTGGCTGGTAACGCTCGATGTCTGACACACATGATACACGGAAGCGACCGCTATGGCGGCGGAGGCGGGTTTCACACGGCCACCGCCAGTACAGGCCAATCCACCCAGCCGTAGCAGTAGACTTGAAATAAACTCAACGCTGGCCAAAGTCGCTCTGTGCCAGTAGTGACTGCTCGCGCGTATGTCGGCGTATGCACCCTGTGCGTCCGTGCGAGCGTGTGCGTGTGGGTGCGTGTGTGCGTGTCTGTGGCTGTGTGTGGGTGTGCGTGTGTGTGTGTGAGTGTGTGTGTGGGTGCGCGTGTGTCTGTATGTGCCTGTGTGTGTGTGTGTGTGTGAGTGAGTGAGTGAGTGAGTGAGTGAGTGAGTGAGCGAGCGAGTGAGTGCGTGTGAGTGTGCGCATCAGCTGATAGATGTTCATATAGGAGTGAAGACGCGTGGCAGTGACAATGTGTTATAGGTTAGCGTAGTCATCATAGGTTTATCTTAGACGCCGAACGCGATAGACACAAAAAAGTGGACGTACCGGCACGTATCAGCTCGGCAGGGCTTGATCAGCGCTAATCTTAGCAAACCACTAACCGCTTGGTCTCCTTTTACGCTCCTGGCTGCAGCTGACGTGCTGCGGCCACCGTTGCAGCCGCTGCTGTCGCCGCCGCCACTGCCAAGTTCACGGCCAGCGAACAGCCGCTCAGGAAACTGCTAGCCGTTCTGGCAGGCAGGAAGCAAACATCGTCCAACTACCCGAGCGTTGGACCTGCTTAAGCGTCCAGATAGCGAGCAACTGTGTCCGCCAGCCAACGAGCGAGTTGTTTGCTAACGCCGGTCAACGTCAACTCCAACGTAACCTAACCGGCGAATAGGTAAACATCGAGGTTGACGACCAGCGTTAGCCAGGCTAAAGATGTCTACCGGGAGTTCTTCGATTAGTTGAGTTCAGACGCTGTAGATGGACCCCAGTTGGTAACTATACTGATCAGCTAGTCACCGAGTGAGTCTAAACGTTAACATTGAGCTTCACACAGTTTACCGAAACGAGCTCACATTATCGCCGATAACTATTGCCAGCGTCAGACAATCAAAATGTATCATCTACGCAAGATCGACCGCGAAGAATGAGGGGCTAGGAGCGGAAAATCACGCAACAGTGAGCTCCAACTGCCACCTAGTAGCTGCCATTAGCAACACTGCCATCAGCTGTGGCTATCAGCTGTGCTAGTTAATAGTACTAGGCACTACTGTGTAAATAATTGCAGCTATTAACAAACTGTTCAAGTAGTATAGAACGCGCGAGTTTGAGAGAAAACGACTTGTGCCGACGCTACAGGTGATCCCATCACCGTGTCGCTTGCCCGTTCATTCTGGCAACGGTTGCAGTAGACGAAGATACTGGCGAATTCGACCGGCCACTTGCCTCGCCTAAAGCTGAACCCGATTGAAATTCAGTCGTTTCAGCCAGCCACGGATCACCGAATATGTACCCATCGACCAACTACAATTGGGCGATCGGCACCGGCAGTGAGTTCAGCCAGACAATCAGGCAGTGAATCAGTTATCCAGACCTCGATATTAACGATCCCATTACGCCAGCCACAGAACGAACCCGCGACGGAGCGAATGCCTTTTCGACTTTTACGTCCGGAACCGCCGCTAGACGTTATTACGTCAGAGTGGAACTGCTTCTACAACTACCGCTAGAGTTGTCATAAATTGAAGTGGTGTAGCATTGTCAGGCTAGAAGCAAGTTAGCCAGATGACGTCCTGAAGCCGGGCTCGCTGAGACGGGACGTGTGATGAACGTTCAAGAAACACCAATCGCCGCCGTAACAGCAGGAGTAACATCAGCGACCGTAGTTGTAGCGACCGTTCGATGCGACCATTTTCTTCATCGATCGAATCAATCTGTCAGAGCACTCCACGACCTTCCCATTACTGCCAGTAACGCAAGCTTCCGTCTTTACCAGCAGTTCCATCCCGAGAATAGATCGCTGACTGGCAAAAGTCCGTAGCTGCAGGACCATCTCCTGTAGGCTCGCTGGCAACGGGCTTTGGCCAACCCGGACAGAACGGAGGACGGCAATCGACAACCGACAAAACAACAGAAAATAAGCACACATTCACAGATAACCAGCACGCCAGCCAGATAAAACGACGGCGGCGGTCGGGGCAGCAGTCTGAACTGAGGCGAAACTAGGAGACGCGAAGGCTTGCTATAAACTTTCGAGAGTAGTCGGCCAGAAAAGAAGGCACCCCGAGAAAAACCAAGGATCGGTAAAAAAGCAGCTGCCGCGAAAGTGCGCGGTCCAACTAGGTGAGTTGTGTGAACGAATTAATAACGATAATAATAATAATAATAGGTTGACTTGAATCGAATCAATTATATATCTATCGTCTTGCTTGACAGGAGCATATAGGGAGAGGCTGGGAAGACAGCAATGGGACTGTTCAGTAAACGATTTGAAAACGGCGCCGTGAGCAATAAAAGAGGGCGAGCCGCTAATGACTAAGCGAACAGAATATAGATGTAGAACAAACAGTTTCAGTGTCAAGTAACTTTTGCCTTACCACATGTTTACGTATTTTATTTGATACATCCGAAAAAAAATGTTACTATTTCACTTGGTACCGTTTGGTCAGTACTTTTATCGGCCACAACGTGACCACAATTATGTCAGCGCGCAAAACGCTTTTAGCAATCATGGAATCACTCGAATTAGATACATGCATCAAGCGATTCAATTGAACTTCGTTTGTCGACTTTGCCCTGCCGTTAGTCGTTTTGTTTGTTATTATTCCCTCTTCATTTTCGCGTAGGCATACGAGCGATTTTGCCCCCTCAGTAAAATCTGTTAGGCCATAGGTAAGTTATCGCTTGCGCAGGCTTTCAATATCGAGCCGCCTTCGACTGTTGCTGTAGCTGATTATATTATAAGTCTAAGTGAGTGACTGAGGACTCCTCGTACATGTTGCTGTCTGGTTCATTTTAACACACTTATTCTAATATGGGCTTTCAAACGTTGGTTGGCTGATTGAGCATATGTACCGCGGACGCCTTTTCTACCGTAAGTTGGCTATCTAGCCTTCGCTGTTCGTTTACCTGTAGCCGTTGTGTATGGGCATAAGTTTGTTGCGTAAGGCCAGAGGGATGACGTGTCATGCCGCGGCCTCCTTACACTCGTTCTTGCAATGATTTTACAGCGGGGTCACTCGACAGTATAACTGTGCTACCTTCTTTCTTCGCCTCATCGTGAAGCTCAATGTTTCTATTACGCTGAAGCCTATTCACACATTAACGACGCGCAAAACTTGCGAATTCTCCGTTGTGGCTGTTCATTATTTATCGCGTTAGCCGGTAACCCAACTGGCAACTTGTCGGTTAATAGAACGCGATGTTTATCGACAACGAAACAATGTCGGTTCTAACTGGTCGTATTTACGTCAAAAGCAATGAGTTGATTACATGTAAGACTTGTACGACGAACAAAACAATACACCAATAACTAAAAAATAAAGCTGTAAAACGAAGAATACACAACTAGCTAGCAAAATCGCTTATACGAAACATAATGAGTCATCAAAATCACCATCATACCTTCCGCTGGTTTTTCCTTGACTTCTACTTCCACGGGAACTGTATAGCTCCATCCGCGTCTTAGCATTATAGCGTACGCTTTCCTTACAACGCTGCTGCAATTAGAATAACACATTTGTACCGGTATATCATATTCAGACCTTTTTTTCCCTCTGTGGCGGCCTCTTTTCCTATGCGAATGCAAGCCTGTCGAACGGTCTCTGACCGTCGGCCGATATTCGCCGTTGCTAACCAACTGCCTCCGACACCTTACGAACCAACGCAGGGTCCGCAGTCACACGATAGTTTCTATACTGAGAGGTATTCAGCAGCTTTTTTCATCGTAAAACAACGAATGGGCCTAACAATTCTAACCGTATGGTGTATAAGTGTTCGGTACATTTCGCACTGATATCAATGTTGCGGCAGTAACATTGACAGTATGTGCAAAGGTAGGCCTCGCAGTGAAGGAGGTGCTCTCCATGGGACTGGCATTCGCGCTATATATATATATATATATATATATATATATATATGTATATAAAACGACAAAATAATGAGAGTAAATGTAGCCTCTTCTTGAAACAATATTTAACGTAACGTTTGCTGGCTATCTTGAAGAACCGTCAGTGTCGTCTATGGTTTTTTTAGCGCTTTCATGTTCACAATTTGTCCTGCATTCTACCTTGATTATGATACCTTACAGATGGGTACTCCGAACATAATCGTTAGTCTTGAATAGCGTTAATCAGGGCACGGGGAGATCGCGGTCAAGTATAAAAGCTAAACCACTAACACCGGGAAATTAATAGTATAATAGAAAACAGGCCAATAGCAAATTAATTAGCTTTCTCCAGCTTTCTCCAGCCAGGTTGGGGAGTGAAGTATAACCTCGAAGTTCGGTCGGTGAATAACCTGTATGAAATTCAAAGTCTTAGCAAATAAACGGAGGTACTGAGATAACACGCCAAGAAAATATGGAGCCTATGTACCAGACATGGTTTTGCGATAATTTAAGCTTCCGAGCTAACTAGAAGTTAAAGTGCTTTCAAATTGTTCGCTGCGATTGAAGCACCAAAACACTTCGAATGCGTCAGTCAATCTAGGCGCAGTTTGTTTCACATCACCGATGATAGTGAATGTCAGGACATGAGAAAGCCCTTTCTCTTAAGTGTGGATGTTGAGCCTGCCCTTCGCGCAGGCACGGACGACCTTGTTCTCTCGCTATGCCTCTAAAGTCAGGAATCATCGAAGATCCTTAATAATGCGTCAAAACTGACTCGTTACTTTAATGAATCATGTTTATCAATAATGCACAAATTTGCTGCGCCGATACGTGCGCTGCTCCTCTCTCTACGCCTCTCCGGTAACTTCATATTCGCCGTCAAACAACTGTGATCTATTAACTTTGAAGGCTCTTCACGCATTTGAAGTTAGAAAAATCTATCTGCCCTGGAGACTTTGTTTCAATTCTTTTATCATATAAAAAGCTACACGTGCATTTGTTTCCGAATAGTTAATTAGGCCTCACCCGATGCGTGACATCTCTTAAATTTCCTACTAGAAAGAAAACGCCATGTAGATTTAACATACGCAAATGAATACGGAACTTCAGTGACTTCCAATAGTCTTCCCTAAAAGAAGTGCGAGAGTATCGATTCAGAGAAGCAAGAGCTAAGCAACAAAAAAATGACAACGATCGTTGGGATCTTCGAGTCACTTAAGAGAGCTAGCCTCTTGGGCTAGCAATATGCAGGAGCTGTACCTGGTCATTTCTTTTAGCAGCGACATGAAATCACCCAACTCGACTACAGGTTTCTGGCTTCAAAACAAAAAAGGCGGATGACGTCGCTTGACAGGCCGTTGTCTTGTTATGCCAACAAGTAATCCCCGTAGTTTATCGTAAAGATAAATGGCTTATTCACTCGCTCTGAATGTCAGCCGTCGCGAGATGGGTGATAGCATTAGCCTTAGAGCAGTCACACCGAAAACTGAAATGTACAGATGGTAATTTCCTAGCTATGTTAGGCTGAGCGCCTTCATCAGACATCTTCATAGGTGTATCAAATTATACCGATCACACATCAGAGAGGAAATGTTGGCACGACTTCTCAAGCTTTGTTAGCGAAATCTTTTCCCGAGTTTTGCTTTCCTCAATGTTTCCCATTGGTTATATCCTTCTAGTTCGCCTTAACGTTTACTTCCATGTTAATCTGAAATAAGTAATGCCTAGCAGAAGGTACATTATAAGAAACGTATGTATATATATATATATTATAGTTATGTATATTATATAAAAAGCTGCCAATCACTTAAGCGGGCGAATTTGGCTCTTATATATATATATTTATAAATTTATATATAAGCTGGCAGCTTTTATAAAAACACGTTTCACTTGTTCTACGAAGATAGACTTATGGATTATTACAAGGTCACGCGTTCATTTCATGTCGAATCTTATAACAGGTACAGATTGGCAGCCGTTTCTGGCTCAATCCAACCTACTTCGTGTAGCTAGGAGGCATACGAACCCATGGACTTGTGCCAGGTTGAGGGCCCGCTAGGTGGCCAACAGTTAGTATCTGCCGGCGCTAAGGAACGTATCGAACGAATTCTCAACGATGTCTCACAATTGTCAGACGTTGAGAAACTCTACTTATATCTTCGGCTACCCGGGGGAGCCAAGGTCACGCAGAACAATCCGGCAAGCTTCTATCCGCTCCTGGGCAAAAAGTCACACTCACAGGCGAGTAAAAGATAAGACTTGATCTTTAATATACACAGTCGGGAAAGTTATGAAAAAAGGTGTACATTTAAAACTAACAATGTCAGTTTTCTATTGAGAGGTTTTTAGCTTGTGCCAACACTGCTTTAACCATACATTTATCTTATTACAACTGTAAGCTAAAATTTCATGACCTGTACATCTCAGTCTCCTTCCGCCATAAATGCAGCGTAGTGGAATATTATAGGGAAGCTTAAATCATCAATATGACGATTTAAGCTTCGCTGCAATCCATGCTTGGATATAGTACCTAAGGAACCTCACGCGAAAGCTTGAATTCTGATTTTGACCGTTTAAAATGTAGCTCCGTTTTCATTCAATTCAGGTGGGTCATACATATGCTTGGATTAGGGGCCACCTCGAAGAGGATCGGGATGTCTCTTTGCCGAAACAGGAAGTTTACAACGAGTACAAGGTAACTTCAAAGAATCAGGAGTTTTAATAGAAGAGTGTGCGAACCATTAAATTTCTAACGAGCTTGGCTACTTCATGCGAAGACGGAATCTATCCAGTGGTTTTCAGATCATTAACTAATAGCATGGCTGTTGAAAACAATTTTCTTTCGTTCTTTTTTGCGCAACCTCCCCCATGGACAGTCGAAGAAATCGAGTTAACTTTCCTTTACACATTATTTTTTTGCAACCCTCGAAATTGTTATTAGATATATAAACGTAACATTTCTATCAGCATAGGCGCTTGAATTTTTAGATTTTTTTTCCTAAAGGGTCAATGAAGCGATTGCGTTCGAGGGATACGATGACTTATTCATCGATATTTGCCGCGGCGCCATGGGGTTTTTGCTGGCTATTTCTATATTACTTGCACGAATACAGACTTTTTAGATTTCAAATTAAACAAAAACGTTTTAAATGTATGGACCGTTGCCATAAGTGAAAGCGTAATCTACTATTATTGTATCGCTCTTAATTATTCACCGATTAATTAAAAGCTTATCACAAACATATCTATGGATTATTAGACTTGTCGTGTTTTCATGGGATCTCAAACCCGTTTCCAGGCATACTTCGAGGCACATTCGTTAGAAGCCTTATGTACGGCCGATTTTGGCAAGGTTATGAAACATGTATTTCCAGGTGTCAGGGCCCGACGTCTCGGTGAAAGAGGTAAGACTTTTTATGACAAAGTACGTCATTTATATTGGGGTCACATTATGGGAGCTAATCTGCTAAGTTAATGCGTGCATTCGATCCTGTAAGATTCGCAAGTGTTGCCTCGCGAAAATTGATAACTTCGCGTTATAAGTTTTCGGCATCGAAGCGTTTATTATAATAAACTCATCTACCTTCATGCAGACCGCCTTTTCTAGGCGTAAAAGCCTAGAGAGCTTTTCAATCAGGCACAATTTATTTATAATGTTTCATGCGTTTTTTTTTTTTTTTTTTTTTTTTTCGAAGAAATATGGAACGTGAGAATACGTGATAAAAGGAAAAATCATTTTTGAAAACCCTGTATATCTTAAACGTCTCAGATTTAGTGTAAGTGATGTTCGTCCTGTTTCAAGGGTGTCGCTGTTCAATTGAAGAATAGCTTCTAGTTAGCTATAAATTATCCTAATATGCTAATAAAAATTAACCATCATCCAAGTTTCTGCACCTCTTACTAAGCCGTTAGAATCTTTCAAGGAAATTGATTTCAATCAATTTTTTGATATTTGTATTTATTTTTCAGGTAACAGTCGCTACTGTTATTCTGGCTTGTCAAAAAAGGTTAAATCGGAGTCCCCTTCAACCATTAATTTGGAAACGCCCGGGGTCTGCACGGAACAAAACCAGAATCAAGTACGCGATCCTATTCAGCGCGTCGTGTAGAAGCGATTACTGAAAAAAGACCATTATCTATAAAGATGTACAAATTTTATAGGAAACTAAATAAAGTTTAACTCTTCTAGTAGATAAATCTTCAGATAATAACGTATATTTTATAATAGAAGAAGAAAATAGACGTTTCTTGAGCATCCTGTATAAAGTGTTAGTTTGCGTTCAGCATTTTAAGTCCGTTTGCGGGAATTTCGAAATTGTTCTGTCTTTTTTTTTCATCATTCGAACTTGTGTTTGTTAAGCGGTACCACGTGCTGCTTAAGGGATAAAAGCTTATGTCAGCGGATCATTAGATTGGGGTTCTCCTCGACCTATTAGTATGATTTTTATATCGTGATAAATATCTCCGAGAATTCGGCCACTCTTTTCTGTTCATTTTATTACCGGCAGACCGTAGAAATGGTTGATGAATGGATATCATTGGGAGTTGACTTCAAAGTAGCTACTGCAATTTCTTACTTCTTCTATTGTACATAGGTAGCAAATTCGACCTACTAAGTGAATATTTTACTTAAATGCCATGTCTACCTACTATTGTAGTCGTCGAAACGAATTTCGCAACTTCGCCTTTTGCTGGATGAATATTCGCCGGGCTCGCCCGCTGCCGGAGATGCAGCCTTGCTTGATTCAGGAGTCTCATCTGTTGCGACGTCTCCACGAGAACGACCAGCGAGTGGGCCTGGAGTCTTCACTTACTATCCGACAAAGGACAAGGTGAGTGATGCAGGCACAACGTGCCATTGTGCAATAATTTTACGGTGGTTTAGTATAACTAGACATAAATTAGTTATACTAAAGCACCGCTTTTTTGTTTTTTTTTTTTTGTTCAAACTCAAGAAACGACGTTAACCATTGCCAGTATATTATCATTGCGCTTTGCGCTGCGGACTTCTCAGAAACTATGTCCTTTGATGTTTGAAGAAACACAGATAACTGTACGCTGTTAAGTTCGACTACTCTTACCACCATCGGCAGACTTAATAACGATTTATATTTCCTGACCACCTTCTTCTTAACTGTAGATAAGTTCTATCTATAGTAACATTAGGAAGACAGGACGCAGAACCTAGAACGGCTCGGCTGTTTTTGATATTTCAGGGTCTTGGCGAGACACAGGAGTTCGCTCAGCGGCTTCGAAGTCAGAGCGCTCCTATCGAGCCGATAGGGAATACGGCACCGACTCCTGCAGGAACCCTCACTGACGATTTCCTGCCTGGAGGTGGTATCGAGTTCGATGACGTCTTCAGCAATATGGACCTGTTAACAAATCCACAGGAGTAACTAACTGTCGAATAGGCCTTTTATTTTTTCTTAGAATACATCTATGTAAAAGCGATTGACTAAAAAAAGCTGGAAATACAACGTCGGTGAAGTGAACTGGGGTTGTTTGGGATTTTCGTGTTCGAAACAAAATAGAATGGTGAGTCGGTGTATGAAACCGAGGCGTGTGTTGTCGGAGGACACGTAACATTGTTATACATCAACTTATATATAACTTTGGAGATTGCGCGATTGAGTATGTTTACCAAAGCGCAAATTTATATAGATATTATGCAGAACAAGAAATATAAAACAACAAAAAAAATATGTATATATTTATCGTGGATGCCCTATCGTGCCGGGAGAACAAGGGAAAAGACAAACCCAGAAACAAGCAGACTTCCTATAGCTGGTTTAAAGCCATACTGTCATTCGTAATCGAGTGTCATAGAACGAAAAAATCGACTATATACCTATAAAGTTGATGCATTCGGCAGCTTGACCTGAAGGCCTACTCGTAATTTACCGTCAAAAAACAAGGGCAATATTGCTCGTGCTGAAACTTGAAGGCTCGTTTGGAATACCTACGCATTTGATTAGCGGATCTCCATTAACTTGTTTTGTAGTAGAACTCATTAAGGAGTGTCTAATATCGCTTGAACAAACCCAGCTTCTTAGAATGTTTTACAACTTAGACAGATTTGTGGATAAGTAAATTCCGAGAAATCAAATATTAACAGGCTTGATTAGCAAACACAACCTATCTTAAGCACAGGGCATCTCATAAACAATAAAACAACTAAACAATTCTGTGCAAATATATTTGTACAGAAGCTCGTACTACCGCATGCTTCAGTTGATTTTTACTACGAGCCGAAGTTAAGTTGTATAGACTCGATTTGTTATCCTGCTGATCATCTTGTTTTTGTTAATGTTTCTGTCGGTTTCATTTATTTCTTCTATATATGTTTGTGCAATCATGTTCGATGCCCAATGTTGAAAGCGCCACCAATCATCAAGTGCTACCCGAATACGTCAGATGGCGCTAATCTAAGACTTGACAATAGGCACCCTTACCTACGGTAAGGCTATTTACCGAATGCTGGTGGCGCTGCCTGTGATCCTTTTCAGTGCAGAAACAATTCCCAGCTTGCGGAGGACGAGAAATACATTACTGGATCTCCCTTATAAGAACGGCACAAAAAACGATGAGAAGACGAGATGACCGTGGCATTAGACATGTCTCCAGAATACAAAATATCGTGTGTGGCTTAAGTAGAAGTGTTCAGGCAGAAAATTAAACGATGTCTTGGGTAGCCACCCCACCTTAGGCTGGCGAACGCTGGGTTTTTGACGCGCAGCAAAGTGACAATATGTGATAAGTCAAACAGTCGTTAAAATGAACACATATTATTATATAATACAATATAACATAGGCGACTCTATAAGTAGTTCTTTTGCTCTTCTGTGATGACGTTGTTAAATTTGGTGTTGCCCAATGCAGGGAATCGTTGATGTTATTATTTACCCAAAACTATTTGTCAATTATTGTGGTAGCAGGGCCATATATATATAAAATATATTATCTATTATATAATGAGTGCGTAATGAAAAAAATAATGGTAAAATATACGATACTATAATAAAACGATATATACAGACGGCCAGTGGTCGTTTAAATCTTGCAGTCCGTTGTTGTTTTACTGTTTGTCACCAGATATAGGCAGCTGAACAATGCATCATGAAAAAATTCAAAGGCAGGCGCTCATCGGCTTATGCCAGCGTAAGTTTCACAAAAATAGTATCGAGACCAATACGGTGCACAGAGATCAGCTGCTGCAGAAGTTGATACTGTTTGCCTATGTCAGGTGGCTCTTCAAGTCAGTTCCACTGTTTAAAGTTCTAACGTCTCGTACCGTATACGTTAAGTATTGTTTTAGACGCCCAGTGCTGGATCGAGACCACCTTGCGTGATCTTAAGTTTAGTAAGCGTTTCCTTATAATGGAGACGGCCTTGCAGGCCTGTGGTGAAACACCTGTCTTTATAACTGTATTCTTAAAGCAGTACTGCATTTTTAGAAAAAAAAACGTGAGACACGTTTTTCTTGCTTTTCTAGCAGATACGTCATACGCAAGCACAGCTATATTGTACGAATTGTATTCTAATTTTACGAAATGTATTCTGCCAATAACTAGAGCTTATGCCTCTATAAATTAACTCTATAGAGTCAAGCGATTTCTCAGCTTAATAACTGACGAAGCTCAAGTCATCTTTGGGTTTAACAAAGGCCCAGTACAGACTTTTTAGTACAGACCCATTTTAGCTTAGTACATCTGTCATGAAGGTAAGGTACTATAAATCGAAGCAAGTGTACATTAAACAAATGTCACATAAACGGTTTGTTATTAAGCACAACAATTATACTCCGCCTGTGCGTATCGAAAAACTGGCCCTATCTTTGCCCTAGCGTGGAACATTTATGGGAATATTTATGCTATTCCTCCTTTATATTTCGCACTGGTACCAATGTCCGGAGTAGTAACTTCGTCTGTCCTTTTGTGAAGACACCTTCTTAAGAAAATCGACGAGCATTTATGATACTATTTATTTTAATATAATTGTAAATTTAATTAATAATGTTTAGTGGTCACTTGAAATCAGAAATTGCCTTTCGAAGCCCCAATTTGCAAATGAGACGACACAAGTGGTCCTGATACTTTTACTGGTAAAAAGAAGATGCGCCAGACCGGACCACGGTCCCGCCGAGATTACTGCGTTCTTGGCTTATTATATCTTTTCTAGCCAACACTAGTTATCAAATGATTAAGTACTTCCAATGTATTTTTTTATTAATATATTAATTTATTAACATATAAATGACAAATGGCCATCTATAGCTTTGCTCAGGTCCAAATCTGGGTCCTCGCTAAAACGACGGAATTCGCTCACGTGATATTTCCAGGCATTACGAACGCGGAGCGAACATTTATTCTATTCATTTGTTGGCAATATCTGAAGCCTATTTGTTAGATGTACAATGGAAATTGTCCGGTGTGTCCTGATGGACTTGGCAAGACACTAGATGGATATCGCAGTTGGATTCGATATATTTTGATCGTATGATGGAAAAGTTACGCAGTCGCGGATAAGACATTAGGAAGTCGTGATGAAGACCTCAGCTTTGTCAACAAACTTTCTCCTAATCGACCTTTACTCCTCAGCCTCGGCGGCTTCCGCATCTTTCTTCCCGGCACCCAGGGCCCATTGAGGCTTCTCAGCCTATAACGTCGGTTGAAATAAACGTAGAGTTAGATTTTTGTCAAACACCCTTGAATACGACAGAAATGGGGAGCATTGAATCTAGTTAGATCGACACTGCGTGATCAGTATTCCCAGCAATACACAAAAAAGGTATCTGCGTGATCAATAATATACTATGAGCAGATTTTTTAATACGCACCGGCTTGCCCTCATCGGTGAGTTCTTTGAAGTCCTTCTTGACTTGTTTAAGACCGGCACGGAAATCGACCTCTTCCTTTTGGCTCTTGACTTTGAGCTTGTCGAACTTAGATACCTTTTTGAGGGCAGGCTTAACGCTGGAATTGATTAATCAACAGGCAGTTTATCAAGCTATCATCTCTGCATAGGCAAGCTTCAAATGTAACCTATAATCAATCCGCTTGAGTGACATTAGAGATAAATCTATGCGAATAATGAGATTTCGATAAACTTACAATTTGCCACGAAGATCGTTCACCTGGATGTTGAGCTCGTTGATCTGCAAGAAAAAACTTCGAGATCGTATCATTGATCCGGTTCCGCGGGTTGTGCTAGCAAGTTAGTAGAAAATCCTATCTGTAGATCAACGAAGAACATTGACGAGCTGAGATAGCAGACAAGGCATGCGAAACAGATCTTTAACAGGAAGGAGGAATATAACATTAGCGTGCTATACTGCACTTGGAAAGCCTCAGATCTGAATGACCAAACTTCTGAAAAGAATCACATTGGCTAAACCTAAACTAGACAGTTTTGCTACTGCAAGCAACAAGTGAAATCTTTGTTAGCACGGACTACCCTATTCCTCTAACCTGATAGTCCTTTTGTCTGACAGAGAACTCCAGGTCGTACTTCTCGGACTCGATTTGCATGATCCTTGAGTGGTATTCTTTGCAGATGGCTTGCAGGGAGGCTAAAACGATACAACAAATTACAGGTGTACAGGTTGTTAGCTACACGTAAGGATTACAATTAAATTGTCAAGTAAGTCAAGAAACAACAGCAACAAGACCAACAAGTAAATACAACAGCTCGAACTAAGCGAAAACTCTGCATAAAAAGATCTGCTTAGCACGAGGTGAAGCTTGAAGGTCTGATTCATTAAGTGCTGTGCTCTGTATAAGCGGCGGAGGTGGCACTGCCGACGTCAGTGTATAAGTTGGCCGTGGTAAAAACGCAACATAAAATAGATGATAGACATATATTTCGCCTTAGTCATTATTATAAACTACATTAATTTTAAAGATACAGAATGTGGGTGGATGAAACAAGATAAATTGTGACCGTGAGAGGACGAAATAGGCCTTAAAAACGCTGAAAAGTAGAGAAAATATTATACCCTGCCGGCAGGCAAATATTTCAGAGACATTCGTGTACGATTTTGAAATTATCTGGTGGCAACATTAAAACACAAGGCGAAAAAAGCGCCTCTAGCCCCACCGGCGGATATTATGCAATCAAGGAAGACACATAAACATTTACATCAATTGTAACGCGATAGCAAATATAGCAGACGGCAGTCTCGTCTAGGGCGAACCCAGTTTTACGAGTGTGAAGCTATTGCAGTAATCAATTGTGAACACAAACAATGACAATGTGATACGAGGGTAACATATCGAAACAACGAAGAAAACAATCAATGTTTGCAATATAATTAGGCGAAGCATAGCTTGTGCGGGCTACACAGCGTGTCGGAGCCACCCATGTAGGGCAACACCGCGCAGGGCTCAGAAGCAAAGTGCAAAGCGAACAGGAGGCACCTCGATAACACTATCACTGTTAGAAATTTACGAAGAAGCACTTCTGTCTGACTTCGTATTCGAGGTCCTCGATATGCTTCTGGCACTCTTTGAGAACTTGCTGCAGTGTCGCTGTACATAAGAATCGAGAAGGTTTGGATCATAAAGCGAATCGTCTTGAACACAACCAATGAATCTACTCCCATTCAGGATAATTGCAGGGTCGGCGTATACCTATATCGATGCGTTAGCATATACGTATGAGATGTCTGTTTGGAACTACCTTAAAAAAGGTCTACTACTGCGAGGTCAACGATAGCGCAATACGAGATCAAACTACGTATGTGGTGATAAGAATAATATTGATTTCTGATCGTGGCAAATTAATCGAGAGTAGCTATGCATACGTCTAATTAATGATCACACACATAACCGCTTTTCAACGCTGATTAACCCGCCCTACCTTCGTTAGCAGAATCGACATTTTTTGGTTGACCGCAACGATCAGCGATGGTCTTCCTCCTTTCCTCAGCTTTGCGCTCCTGCTCTTTCTTAAGTTCTTCTGCGGCTTTCTTACGCAGCAGTGCCTGTCAAGGAAACAAAAAAAAAAACACTGATGAAAAACTTGTACTATAACAAAATGCGTTACCGTATTGTTATTAGAGTATAATGCTGTTCCGCTATTATATTGATGAAACACACAGATATCCGCAAGCCGGCCAACTTTACAAGATGCTTTATAAGCGTGGATATGCGCATGAAACAGACGTATCATAGAGATTAATAATTAGCAGTAAGTTAAGATCATCTGTAAAGGGAAAAAAGTTCAGTTGACCGATTGCTAAATAACAACAATCTCACTATTTAGCTGTCGTATATTTCATCTCCCAAAAATTGAGGTCTAGGGTCGATTGCATATGTATTGCTTATGCCTATTTTTTTTTTTTTCTACTAGTATGCTCAGTTGAACGTTGTCCTGCCAAACAGTGCTTGTTCTTTTACCCTGAGTTTCTTCTTTCTTTCGGGGGTCATGAAACCGCCCTTGCCGCCCTTTTTAGCTTTCGAAGCTTCCTCAAGACGCCTCCTGACTTCGGCCTTTTTCCTCTCCTTCTCCTCCATCTTCCGCTGTTCTTCTTCCGACATTTCAGGCATAATGGCTGTTGGAGGTTGGCTAGCCTGTCAACATAAATTCATAGAAGAAATTAAAGATTCTCACTAGCTGACTTAATTGTAAAATTCAAACACTAATATATACTGGGTGGACCAAAAGCGCCTGGATAATTTAAAAAGAATTCCTCTCGACACACGGGGAGGCTTCATTTCGTGTTTGTTAAAGCAGGAAAAGACACGCAAATGGTTGGTATAAAAACGGATTTAATTGTACGACGCGTCTATAGCAGGCGGGCCATTTTCAAACTGTCTAGAGGCTTTTGGTTTATCCTACTGAACAGGAAAATGGGAGCTGTCTCAACGAGAAAATAGAAATGTGCCTTTTACTGTATTAATCAGATTGCTCAACATCTGGCAGTACGAATGAAGGGGTGCAGTTCAAGCGCCCCCCGATAATACATAGTTTCGTCAAAAAGTTCGGTGAAACTATGAAGTAAAAAAAAAACAAAAGATTGTAAAAAACTAAATCACTGATAAATTACTAATTGTAGGATTCACCTCAATGGAACAAGTCCATCAGTGTGTACAGGATGTTTCTCACATGAGTTATATGGGAACTTGTTTTCAGGAAAAGAAAACTGCAAAGCATTTGACCTTACGGTGTACATTTAGCCAATTAGAAAGATGACCCTTTGTGTGCACGCTGTTAGCTGTCGACGTAAGTGTTTGACCTGTGTTAATACAGCAGCCTATTCGCTGTATGCGCATAGCCCAAAAACTTAAGGGACTACACTGACCGATACGGTAAGTACCAGGCGTCGTAAACATGAAAGGTCGTTGATGGTCGCTCATGTGAAGATCGGAAAAATAGGCACCAGCCTCACTTGAATCCCGAAAAAAGTTCGAGAACGAGAATATGAAGACAAAACTCCATGTGTTCAGGATCACCTACTGATTTTTTTCATTTCAGTTACATCTATGTGTACATTTATATATGGCATATAAATTTTATTTTGATATTTTCTCAGATACGCTGCTACGGTAGTGTGCAGCGTGAAAAAAACGAACAGTTTCGGTGGTATATAGCATAGTCAAAGACGAGTTTTCCTCGCATGCCAAATACTTTAGTGCGTTTGCTTGCAGGAGCTACCTTAGGCTTTGCTCAACTCTAAGTCGAAAACGGTGAACCACAGGATATCATTGGAACAATGCGAGTGGGGTGTTACCTGTCATCGTTGTCGCGTTTTTGGCAACGATTAAACAGGCGACAGATAGGACAACAAACACTGGGGGGATGGCCCTTTATCCATTGTCTGTTTGTTCATAAATAATAGCTATTTGTAGTCGTTCTGAAAACCACAGTCAAAAATAGATCGTAATCGCGCAGTGTTATTGACGTATGCATCATGGCACGGTTGATGACGTATCGAATTCATTCTGTGCCACTGTGATGAACCCTATCGACAATAGCAACCGTGCGAGCAGATGCTGTATTGCCGACACGCCTGTCATAATGGGCCATTTAGGCCGCATGCAGCGGCAGACCAAATCGATCAACCCAGTCCGGGCAGGGCAATTGATTAGAAAGCAAGGCCCAGAAGAACGCGCTAACCTCTATCCCCTGCCTTTCGTTTGGTCCAATGTGCACAAGTGTTTAATTGTGGGTATTAGAGTTTAGTTATCCTGTGCCACTCTTTGCTAACAGCCATTGGAGAATGTGCTGGTGATGCGCAAAGATATGGTATATAGTATGGTCGCTTTGGTAAGGAGGCCAGGCGCTGGTCCCTAATTTGAGGTGGCTCTTGGCAAAGACCTGAAGCATCGCGTAGATTGACGGTGTTCGGCGGTCGATGCCTGATACTTGCTGTCCGAAGCTCTCGTCCTAAGACTTCCGGTGGTTTTCCTAGTCTCTGTGACGCGAGGCTGCGGCGATTGGTACTGATGACATTGAAGGACGGGCACATCCGTTGAATACGGGTCACTCGGAGAGGAAATCTCTACAAAAGGTGGTCCTGCCTCGCCTTGATCACTTAGAAAACTCTTTCTTACCTCGTCTAGCCTTAGGTATAGTAGATAGTTCGCTTCGGTGCTTCAAGATGTGTGTCAATGGCTTACTGTGTGCATGCATGGCTGTGCCTAGGTAAAAGGCACGAAGGAAGCCCGATTGAGATCGTATCTTTCGAGAAGAAAACTGTCACGCTGCTTATCCGCATAGGAGGTACAACTGCTGCCGATACTACTACAGAATAAGACTGGTACCAAGCACCGGCTGTGTGTCGAAGGGAGCAATGCTTCCCGACCGCCGAATTTGTTGGGTCAACACAGATTGGGTTGCAAACGGCGGCCATTTAAAAGCTATTGTTTTAAGAACGTGCCATATTGCTGCTGTCATAATTCTTAGTCTGTTTTTACCTATGCAGGGTTTGCAGTAAGTTCCTAAAGACATAATATACGCACAACGAGAACGTACCACTCATATTTCATCTGTATTTTTAGATAAATAGAAGCGATATTGTACTGTTCTGTGTAAATGAAAACGGGGCGCTTATAGATCAACTCTGTCATACCGCATCTGCAGCTGGGAAACAATCTTCGTCAAGTATTGCTGAAACGGGACTTAAGCTTATACACAAAAAATTACTGAAGAGCGTTTATCTATTCGCAGGTAAGCTTTCATAAAAATAGTTGCCAATCCACTCCGATGTCAGTCTCAGAGGGAGCGAGTGATTATTTGGTCGGTCACTGCTCGTCATAACGAAATTCAAATGAACGTATTGACAATAAGCTAATACAGAAACCCTTCTCTAAGGGCTAATTTTTTTCTTTCCAAATTCGATCATTGCCATCGTGAATCTGAGCTCGGCAGATACCAAGGGCACACTCCTTACTAAGCTCCAAATTGAGTATGTTAAAAATAACATTCGTCGATTGATCTTTCCGATTCGGAACGGGCTGATGTTAAGGTGACGAGCTAAAAATCCGACCTCCGATTGTTATGGCGCTGCTGCTCAATTTTCGTTTGTCCAGAACAATGATTGATGCAGAACGGTTCGTTAGCTTAAAAGCTTTCTGCGGTTCGGAAAATAGAAACATAGCCTCGAAGACATATGAAGGCCAGGACCAATCTATTTACACCGAAATGGCGAAGCTTGCGCGATACAAAAACAAAATATTAACATAACTTCTGGAAATTTTAACAAGTATTATACCTTTAGGTGAGCCTGACAAGGAGCCTTGAAAGACCAATAGGCAAACTTATATGCTTGCGGCGTTCTTTGGAAGGCAGTAGAAGTACATGATTATAATTGTCATAGACGGTGTAAACATCACAGCTTCGTTCCGGCTTTAACGTTTCAGATATGATTTCAAAAGACGGCTCTACGACGCGTGCCGATAAGCAAATCTAAATCAGTGTTTTAAATGCGGCACCGCTGCAGGGAGCAGTTCTTGAAGTACATCCGGGAGACGTGCCGGGTTTCAAAAGCTTCTGTAGCATTTTCGCCTTATGGATTTACCCTGCTCAACAGCTTCTTTTCAACATACCTTACAATCACGTATAGATAATTGATATAGCTGATGGCATAGTATCAAATAGGCTGCGGTAAGATAATAAAACAGATCAATATTAAAGTTAATTCCACTGTTGGAAAAAATCTTGAATCGACTTCTGGGTTAGGTCTCTATCATCCCAATTCATTCAGCTCCCGTCAAAGCAAAAAAGTGATATAATCTTAGCGCGTACCGGTGGCAAGGAAAAGCACAAGGCATCGTTACTATACAAATGTCATGAAGGTTCTCTACGTTTCAGCAACTAATCAAGACAGGTTTGGTCTGCATATACTATATTCGTTTTGGTGGTGATATTTAGTTGGGATAGTAACGATATCTGGAGCTTTGACAGTTTATGGCTTGAGGCTGCCGAAGTGTTTAAATTTGTATTGTTTTTTTTTACAATCTGTGTTTAGGCAGGAGTAGTGCGACAACACAGAGACATGCTTACGCGGACTTTAATAAAATCATTAATGAACACTAACCAAAAGAAAAACCCACAGAGCAAACTAACTTTTTAGTTAATCCTTCATAGAAATACCTGCGGAGAGCAACCGCCGATAAAACTATGCATATTGTATAAGGCAATCCGATTGGGGTTTCGATGAACACTTAGCACTACTGAAGCAGTCTTGTACTTGGAAATTCTGCGAAATACAATAAATTACTATACTTTTTTTTATCAAGGACGGATCACTTTGCCCACAAAGGGGGCTGAGACTCATGACGACTTCAAGCTATCTGGCCGCCTGCAAACACTTCGGGTATCCTATTTGATGAAGACCGCGCGCGATGATTGAGGATATCCACAGAAAAAAAACCAAAAAAGCCCGTAACCGCATAGATCAATGCCCCATAGGTTCGAGGCTACATCCATCGAGCCACAATAGTCCTCGGAGAAAAACGATTTGTTTCGTTGTTCTAAATGTTCGTCCACACTTGTGATGCATCTGGCAACCTCTCGTTGTCACCTTTTTGTGGTAGCAGGTAAACTTTCGAAGCATCACACATAAACCACCTTTCCAGATCAACCACGTGGAGATTGGATCCAGATACCTCCGTAAAACAGAACTCGTTCATAAGCAGACACTTACCTCTGAGACGAAACAGGAGGAACTCACACGCTTCCTAAGCGATGACCAACTAGATGGTATTAGCTGGTGGCAACGATACCAATGCGAAGCGGTTAAGGAGGAAGCGGTGCCCCTTTCCTCCTAACATCGGTGTATACTGGTTCAGCAAAGCCTTCTTTCCTTCTATCGTAAGCAATCAACAGAAGAGACTGCCACATGGTAAAGTCGGACACACGCGCCCTACACACAACCACTCACAATAAAGCGCAGTTTACCGGCGTACGCCCGAAATAGTCGCCGACCGTCTTAACCCTCGGGGACGCAGACAGCTCAGGTCAGTGCTACTGTGCCTGGATCAGCCATTCGTTGCCTTTGCTTCGATAGGCATTTCTCGTCCACATCACCTATAGCTCTAGTCTATGGCCAATTGCTGTTGGAAGGCTGCGGACGGACTATTAGCCCACGTCTGATGCGCGATCAGCCAGGCCAAACAACAGGACATAACATGGGTGGACCTGTAGCCCACAACGTAGCTTGACGATGCCGCTATCTCACCCTGCTTACTGAATCGTCTTTGCCAATATTCTCCCCCTTGGTGTGTCCCTATAGATTTTCTACCGGGCCGTTACGACTACCACGAATACTAGTAACTAACCCTTTTAGGCTTTTAGTATAAGCGAACAGCCGAGAAATCTAACTGGACGCGTCGACCCATACCCAAGCGCCAGTTTGTCTTCTCAGCAGTCACCACCGCTGCCCGGAAGACACGAGAAACAGCTCTAACGCAGCGGTAACTTTTAGTATTGCACTCGCCGTGTAACATTTTCAATCTCCTATGGTTTTGGGTAACTAGGCCTTCATTCCTGTGTATATAAACACAAGGTATATTCATGAGAAAAGTGCATGCCTATGAACTGACCAGACTCACATTGAATAATGTACCGTGTGTTACATAAATGTCTATACAAACCAAGCATAAGGTAACAGAAGGCCATCCCCTACAGGCACCGCCTTTTACGGCAAAACACGTGAAAGAGACAGTGTCTTTCACCTTGTCAACTTATATGGCTCATAACGTCCGTTAATTCTGCGTCCGTTAAAGATCGCAGCGTTGGTTCTTTCTGAATACTCTTTTCTCTCCTGTAACTCAAGATCACTAAAAGACAAGCGTTGTTGTAATAAAATAGTCAAATCGAGATACCAATAGGTGATTAGATTAAAACACTTCCGTGCTTCAATCTAAAAGCAGTCGGCACAGAACAGATGAAATATTAATGGTATAAGTTAACGAATGATGGTGAATTTTAACTTAAAGAAGCTCAACATTGAGGATCCGGAAATTAAGTATCTGATGCCAATACTTCTTCATCAGCTTACGTGTGCTTTTGATTGATTGCTAATGCTTTACAAATTCAAAGTCGCTCGATCGCTCGAAAATACAGAGCGCTTTGTGCTTCTGAAGCATCGTTTCTAATGTGGCCGAATTTCGCGATTCCAATTTAATTGACCTGGCGTAACGAAAACGTTTATACTAGAGCTAAGCCATTGTCTTTATGCTGACATGGACGCAATTACGTTGGCAATGGAAATCATTTTAGCTCGTTGCTATCGCCCTTATCAAAAGTAGCTTTTTCACGCGGCCCGTTTTACGCAGATGCCACTTGTTGATGCCCAATTCTACCTAATAACCATAAACACTATGGAACTGCATGTTTTCAATTACGTTCAACCCACAAGACGGGGCCGTGTGTAGTTAACGCGATGTTAATTTACCAATGTTCGCGTGACCATATTATATTCACACCAGGAGACACAGATACACATACATCCGCATCGTTACCAGCAAGCACGCGTGCACGCTCTGTGACAAGCGCAATAGATCGAAGGGGTATACTAACAGACGAAGCGATCTAAAAAAGTAAATCCTGAAATATACTTTGTAACCTATTATTGGCATAGCGTGCTGCATTGATTCAAAAGCAATTCTCTTCCTTCTGGGAAGTATCAGGGAAGGATAGCGGGTGTCCTAATGCTTTGATTTCAAATAGTATCGTTCCAACATCCGCCGAAAGAAAACTACAAGGAGGTGAGACAGAGTGCGTGGGCGTCCACAGTGTACGTTTTACAGGCAAATATGCTAATTTCGTAAAAGTAAAAAAACAGTCTTACCATCTGGATTAAGGCACGTTTTTCTTGATTTTTTTAAACGAACCTGGTTACAGATGAAGTGCTCTGGCGGAAAATCATGGTTGCGAATAATAGAGTAAACGTTAACGGCATCTCCCAATGAGGTCTGTTGAGCTGATATTAGAAGCTATATTGTAGATAGCCGTGAATTTCAAAAAATTGTTGATGGCTTTACAAAGTTGGGAGCTTCTGTAGGCGACAGTCGAGTAGAAATTTGCAAGTTCGCAAACACCCAATGTACCAGCCATCTAGAGCTGACAAAAGACCTATTACCGAAGGCGCGAAATTTTAAAACTTATATTAGGTACGCCTGATATGGTAAATCCATTGATCTTTATAAAATACATCTACTGGATATGTGAACGCAACGGCTTAAAGTTTTCATGGGATGTTGGCTATCCATACGTATACATTATCAAGCAGTTGTTTTTTTTTGATAAGCATTTAAAGTTTGATGTTTGGGTGTAATTCTAATCGACGCAAAACGATCGTATGTTTATTTGTGAAGCTCTACAGAACTGCTATGGGGAAGAAATTGATCGACAAGTGTACCACGCGCAATTTTAATGCACAAAAAAAGAACAACGAATACACTTGAGGGGCTGCGGCGAAGTCCGTATCGACGCTGAAGTCGATGCCATCTATTTTAGTGGAGCTGAAAAGGATCCATAAAAGCAAAATGATTCATTCGAACTTCTGTTGGATGCCATTGAAGGGATAGATCAAAATACGAGTAAATACGTGTTGTACTATGTTAGCTCATAAAAAATGTAATAATTTCAATGTGAACTTCTAAGGCATCTATCGTATAGCCCATCAGACTAGTATCTGTTTCGGTCCCCCTTAATTGTATTCATTCATGTTTCAACGAAGGAATACAAAAATCTCTTGTCATCATTTTTCGCGCCCAGAAACAGCTGAAATTCTACAGTAATCAGAGTAAAGTACTACCGAAAAATTGACTGAAAATCATTGATCAACATGGCGCATAGTTAATTTAATAATATTATTTTAAAATATTCCAACTCGGAAACTGTCAATATCTCTTCGACTGGTCAATATATATTTGCATCTAAGAAACGCTTATGTTTTTTTTTATAATGGCCTTATGCTAATCTAGAAGATAACCATAAACAATTTAAAAAAAAAAAAAACATTTGAAAAGTAAATGCGAGTTTAAGCTGCCATATTTGATAAAATTACATATTGAAACTAGATTATAAAAATTGCACAACGTAAAAAAGCCAAAACGTTTGATTATGTATTCAATTGAAGCTGCAAGTGCTAACATTTTTACTCAGGCGATCTTTAGGGACACTGAAAACAACTACTACCAGCTTTTCTGTTTAGCAATGTAACATTTAAATGTACAAAGTTGACAGTCATATTGAATGCTGCGATTTAGTGTCATCAAAATAGACTGAAATCTAGTAACTTCACTCAGGATATATGTGCATTCGTCCTTTCAAATGGGCTTGCTAAGATAAGCAATAAGAACAAGATCAAGCAAAATCTAGTTCTTCACATACTCGTGATGCCCAGTTTAACACGTGTAGGAGAAAGCTCTTTCTTTTGTGCTTGTCCTAGTAGCCTAGCCCATTTAACTGGTGCAAAGACGTTGCCAAGTGCTTGCCAAGCCCTCATGAATCTGCTGGAACACCGGAATACGCTTATAATAATAATAAAGATAATCTTTGCCCATTATCTGTTTAGATACTGCTCACAATGTAGCATACGTATATTGAATCTACACATACGTAGAGAGAGGCTTGACAATCGCCAAATTTCCTCTTTCTCGTAAATGCGAAAGTAATTTTTTAACTCCTTCAAGCTGTACTTGAGAAAATACAGTTATGACAAAGTAAAAAAAAAAGACTATATATAGGCCATAACAAAAAGAATACATATTGACAAGTTCCAATATGTGAGCCAAGCTAGAGAGGTATATGCAAAAATCAAACATAGATAGCACCTCGTATCTAAGTCTTGCAGGTCCGCCAGAAATAAACGATAAAGCTTCAAGCTGCTCCGGTAATACGATTGTAATCGAGCATCAACATGTATCTCTAGGAATTGCGCACAAAAAGTACGCCTTTGCTTTTATCTTATGAGTTATAAGAACGACTACGACATACAGTTAAAACATTGTCCATTTAGGGAACGCAGAGAGGAGAATTTTTGGCGGCTTTATACACCTGCGAATCCTCACCTAGCAATCTGTGCCTACAGACCTATTAAATTGCTAGTTGATTTCTTCCGCGCTTGGTCGAAATACGTTACAAAACATGTAGCAATATTCCCTTAAATCAGGAACTATTTCGTTCTGCAATCAAATGCTGTGTTGCACCATTGGCCAAGAGCCTGCTAAGGGAGTAACTAAGGGAATATGTCCTGTTATGAACCTAAAACACTCTCATCCTAGGTAAACAAGAAAAAGTATAGAGTTGCTCACGTTGCTTACTCATTGCTAGCTCTCTCAAAGTAAACAGGACGGAGCTGGTTTGAAACGACTGAAGACCCCTCTCATACAGACATCCCTCACTTTCTATAACAATATGACCTAGCTTAATCAGTGCCCGCTGCGACGGCGACAACAACGTTTATCCGGATGCCATCTCAGATCTTCCATCTCAAAGTCGCATCGATACGTTAGGTCAGCGTTCCGTCGTGCGCATTTGATTTTAGTCCAGCAGAAACGGGCCACCGACTGATCTCCAGCGAACCAGCGAGGAATCGTGATGACAGGTTTTTTCTGGCTGTACAAACTAGCTGCATTGTGCCTTGAAGCGTCAGTACAATTGCACCGCTGTGTCTCGCGTACGGCAGGCTTATCGAATACGTTGTTTACTCCCTATTATTCACAGTCGCAACACGTACCGAGAACAGCGTATGGGATGAGCGTTTGCGAAACACAGCCTGGGATACAAGTCATTTCAGGAATGAAATCACTTGGATTTCGGTTGTACTGGCTAGCAAAAAGAGAGGCCCAAAGCGAGCAGGCAACAGGGAAAACAGTAGATATCAAGAGTACAACACGAGCGGTTATCACAGCTGCTGAATCTGTGACACCAGTCGTTTTTCTTCTTTCTTCTCGTTCCGGCATTTTACTCTGTTTACGGTCGAACAATTACTATTCTGGCTCTTGACCAAAATGAGCAAACCAGTGGAGAAGTCCTAAGAACCCTCGGGCCTGTAGAATCATATACAGGTTGGCTTTTCGTCTGCGAATGCCCGTCACCCCACTACCGTGTACGACGCATATAAACAATACCTCTTGTTTCGATGACGCCGCCGCTGGTATAGGTCCTACTCGCTGAGTATTTAGGCCTCCTATTCGAGAGATCGGGTAGCGTCCACAGACAACACGAATAGCGAGGCTACAACAAAGCCTTGAACATAAGATTGAAGACGACCTCCCGAAATAATAGGCACGGGTAGTTCCCTTTGTTGGGCAAACGCCTTTGTTCGCCTTATCTTTATCCTTCTCGACGTAGTAGCGTATAAACATGTGTATAAATGTTGCAAGACCGCTAGCCAATGATCGGCGATAAATGCTAGAGTGTGATGGCTGCAGAACTGGTGGATAAACGCTCAGCAGCCTACTCGCTAGATCGGTAACCTTTTCGAGGCCGTATTAGATAGTTGCGGAAAAACTTGTAAAAGCGCTAGTAAAAAAAAAAAAAACATTTCAGGCCCTACTGACCGCGTTCTATAGATGTCGTGTAGGGGACGTCAGCTGCTTGGTTGTTCACTCTAACCAAAAATAATGGATAAATAGAAGCGAAAGCAGACAACATTAAGATCCTTGGTTCTCATAGTTATAGCAGAATAGTACTAGCAAATCAAGTAAAAAAATCACCAAGTTAGTAGATTAAACAGCGACATTTTAATCTCCTTGTCAGATTATATTATCTTTATCCCAGAAGAAAGATTTTCAATCGTTGGCCATGATTCGAGCGGTGTACCTTTCGCGTTGTATCTATGCGGCTGCTATTATTGTGTTTTGTAAAAGTTACAAGCGGTCTTGCGTTGCGCAAACAATACACATGTGGCCACGGAAGGACTGGATTTAACATCATTTGCTGCACATTCTAGTCTCCGTCAAAACACACAATAGTACCTCAACTAACATCCAGATGGCGCATGTGGAGCATTTGACTCACTTGCGAGTCCAGTTTATTCTGCTGACGGGCGTATGCACGTGCTCGGACAGGTCAGTCGGTAGAGCGTTAACTTGGTGATCCAGGCTTCAAGCCCCGTTTGAGCCTATTCGTGGTTTGCCAACGAGAGGCACGTTATCAGAGCATAGACAAAACGCTAGTAATACTAAACAACAAGCAAATATTGCACAATTTATGTACTTTCTATTTTTCTCATAGCTACTGAGCTGTAACCTTGAGTTTGACCAACTTTATCAGACGAAGTTCCCATATGTCCTTAACCGGTAACTGACTCACAAGCACAGAGTTAGGTGCGCTACAAAAACAACCTCTTTCATGAATAGCAATTAACAGCTGTTCCGGCTCATCCAAAGAGCACCGTATGGGTAAACAGTCGGTCAGACAAAGGTCAAAAATGTTGTCTTTCGTAAGCGTCAGCGGTGTGAGTTCTTTAGGATTTTTCATCCCGACCTGATGTGACTGGTAGGTGTTGGTCATGCTGAGCCGCTGAATCATAGCGTCTTCCAAGAAATGTACGGCAATGCGGGTTTGAATGAATAAGTAAGAGAGAAGACGTCTGTTTTAAAAGAACGAAAGGGGTACCGCATCCGGCTCAGAGCTGAGTCTAGTTTTCAAACGGCTCCCCCTTTTTTCATTTGCCGGTATAGCATTTTGGAATTTACTACGACCCTACATCGCTTATAAAAATTAAAACAAAAATCCATTGAAGTCATGTGCTGCATCCATTACTATGAAGGCTCCAATGTGTAAATTAGTACGCCATCATTGTATAGAACGTTCGTTTAATTTATTTGTTACGTCTAAAGCGTCGATCGCGTTTGTATGATTCTAGCGTTTTACAGGGAACGATTCGAAGACTATAATTCAAGCTAAGAAGGAAAACGTTACAAACGCCAGGGAATCCACTTGTTATTGACTTACAGCTACGGGTTAATATGATCGTGCTCATTGGCTGTATCCTTAAGACACTAATTTACCCTGTAGCCTATGCCGTCGTATAAACACTTTTTTAAGTGTCTATACGACGGCATAGGTTAAAAAATAAGAACGCAAAATGTAATAACTCGCTACCGTTATATGTTAAGAATGATTTTTCAAGAGTTTAAAAGATTAATCGGCTCGGGATGTTGTCAGGTGTTGGCGTTCTGAAGAGACCATGGTAATGCACCTAGGGAGTTACTTCCAAATGATCGCGTGCTCGCACCTGTCTGACAAAGGATCATTAGCGGAGTCAGTTACTTAATAACAATCTATTTTCCAGGTTCCACTAAACGGCAAAAGATTGAAGTGATCGTGGGAATATCTACCTAATCATAACAATCGAAGTAGTTGGAACAATTTTATGCTAATAATAGTAGTACTAACAAAAGGCATATACGGGCTTTTCCACTTAGCAATGGGACTGTGTAACTTTGAGTAATACGAATGAACTGCATTTAAAGCTACATGTGACCTTGTACCAGAGTAGAGTGTTTTTGCACAAGCTGAAAAATCGTCTGCTTGTGTCCCTTCGTTGTTATGTCGTAGATTTCGGTTTTCTGGTTCCGTCTAATAGCGTGGTGATAATGTACTTGTCCATACAGTGAAGATGACGTGGGCTCAAATCCGGGCATAAGCAGGCCGCGTTTTGTTGTGAAAGCCAATTGTCTATCAATGCAGTCGTTTAGATTCATTCAGACGAATTTCAGTCACTCTATTAATTAACATATAAAGAAATATCACTCCGGATATTTAATGAATCGGTGTAGGATTAGTTCGTGGGTGCCTACCACCATAATCGTTGACCTTCTGATGTGTTTACTTTTCCAGGAATGGATTCATGAAGTGGGGCTGGCAGTGAGGATAGCGGTATCGTGGGGGGGTGTGTTTGTTGACGCGTCGTCGAACAGTCGTCTGAAATAGAGTTCGATTAAACAAGACGCTAGTGAAGCTTTGATTTTGCGTTACGAAAATTTCTAAATTGTCATCAATAACGACAATAACGCTATATGGCACTATATTCTAGTTAGTTACCACATGGCGTAATGATGTGGTTAAATTAATAACTTTATATGTTCTACTTGGTTCTGCCCATAGGGCTTCTTAAGTGGTCGTTTGATAGATCAACACCTCTTGGAAATGTGTCTACTGTGGTCTTCTAACAAGTTGACTGGCCAATATTTCAAATACACTTTACAAAAGATGTACATGGCCATTTTTACGCTAGCTTACACAACACATTGTCGTAATTAGTAGTTAGAAGACGGCAAGTAGAACACTTTGGGTTGACAAAGATTAAAATTCGACCTGATTTTAGCTAAGTCAATAAGCTTATTTTGTCTAATTTCGTCTTGTAGCAAGTACTCGTAAATCACGAAAGCTCATATCAACAGAAAATAACCTTCCCGGACAACGTTCAGTATCCGGTGGGGTGTGGATTGTAGACAATGAAGTCTTTTGAGGAATGAGGGCATCGCTAAACAGTGGCGTATAGAGTGGTGGAGCTTCAAACCTGGAAATGCAAGCAGAAAAAACACTAGTCCTAAGCGAGCTGACTAACGTATAGAGAGACGCTTTCTAAACTTAGCAGAGTGCCCATCATACCTAGAATAAAGTTAGCCAAACATTTTGCATTTAACGATTCCGATTATTCTGTTATTTATCAATTATATACACTCCTTTATGACCTACAATAAACTTGCACTCGACGAGATGCGCCGCGATGACATAATTCAACCACTGAACGCGCTCAGCGGGTTCCAGTAAAACTGCGTTTGGCGAGCCTAGAAAGCCTATCGGATTTGAAGTCGTACCGCACAACCGCCCGATCTTTGATGCGTAACATGAAAACTGTAGGAATTCTGCATGTGTATGACGTCTACGGCTAGTTTTTTTATAGCCGAAACTATTCTACATTTGAGATTACCATCGTGGATGGATCAGAGAATCCGAGAGGACCCTTCGCAACACGTACAGCTTTGCTGAAAGCCTATACTGATTTATATGAAAACCCTTTTACTGAGCAGAAACAGATGAAGCATATGTTAACCCACTGCTTCTCCTGAATATTATCTGGCCATGGAGATAATTTTATATAAGAATTAGAGAGGCATGGGTCTGGTCAGTTGTTGTTAACTACATCGTTAGCTTGCAGTCACGCTGAAAGTCAATGTCACACTCTGTACCCCGGAACTTAAGAAATGTTTGTGACTATCGAACGTGTCCAGGCAAAGCCGATTCAATTCCGATCATTTCTGATCGAATGTGACCGATTTTCAGTGTCTCAAATTAGCCAATTCGGACTCACCTGGTCTTTGGCGCTACCTTCTCGATTGCCGCGATCGCTGGTGCTAACATCTGGTTTTCACAAGCCCGACTCGAAAACTCTAAGCAAGGTGGTTGTACGGCCTCGCGCCACACTTGGGACAGTAAATGTGACGTTGGCGTTATCTGCTTGCTTAACTGCTCGATTCTGTGTTAGATATACGGTTACAGTTAAAAGCGTAAGTCGCTTGACCTCTTTCTGTGAACAAACTTTGGGTCAGAACTTGACAATTAAATAGGCAGGCTAGTTTAACTATATCGTGTCTAATTTGGACGGTGTACACACGTGCTAATCGAAAAAAGAAATGGCTCACGTTAAATTACCTCTGAGTAGAGCGTGCCATGCGATCGAATAGGTTGTCATCAAGGAATTGACGGGTAGCCACATCATCAGCGCTAAGGGTCAAATGAATGTAAATTATGGTAAGACGAGTATCCATTTGACTGGCTGTTGTTAAATGCCGACTTCCTAGGACGTCTTATACTCATGAAGCTTCATAGTTTTTTGAACCATTGCGTAACAGTGACCTATACGGCTGAGTGAAAATTCAACTTCTTTTTGAAAAGTATTACGGTTGCATGGATGCGTCTGGGTCAACTTGATTTAATCTAGAGTTTCCAGGCTGCGGGGTATCGCGATATTGTGACGCGTTGCCACTAGTGCGTACGTTTTCCCAAGCAAATAGCACCTATTGTTGCTGCGCATTATTTTATAGTAGAGGTAAGTGAATATAACTGCTACAGGTCGGTCGTTTTTTGTTTCGAGGCTGATTCAGGTGTAAAGAAGCAAAAATTGGCTTATACCGCTTGCTGGATGGATGGATGGATGGATTCGTAGTATCGAGCGGAGCTAGTGAACATTCCCACCTCTAAGATGCACGACTGAACCACCGGAACGTGATCATAACATCCCGAATAAGTGTATATAGCCTGAACGCTGTTACGGACGCAGAGGTTTCCACCAGTCCACGCAGCATTGGAGTAAGCCCCTTCGACATTGTTCCGAAGTGTCTGTTAGATGGGCATCCTCTGAAGTCGTCGCCACAGCAGAGCCCTACGTGACTTTACCTTGACCACAACTCTATCTAACTCTTTCAAAAAACTCTGCCTCGTCAAAGGCATAAATTTTACTCGATTTTGAAGTTAAATCTATTCTTCTAACTAAGTACGGTTAACAAAATAATAAACACAAGGCATTAGTAACTGTTTACTTATTTGGCGTTGAACAGCTTGGCCCCGAAATCATCATTCTCTTCTACTCGGTATAAGCACGCTCAAGGAACTTGCGACATACACAGAATAGAAACTTTAGGCCTGGAGACGCTGTACGTGTTGTTGATGTTAACGGCTGCCAGCAGTTTCTGAGTGTTTACGTGTAACGTGAATGCACAAATACATTTTGAAGACATCCAAATTGCACGGCGTTACGATCGAGGCTGATCAAGTGCTCGTCGATATGACTACTTTGGCGGTCACATATTGAGGTGCAAGTTTCCTACGATGTGCGCCATTTAAAGCACGTGAAAAGAGCAAAAAACGAGGACATACACGCCATATTGTGGACCTTTACGAGTCCACCCCTTCGACTGAGCTGTTTTCTATTGAGCTTAAGCCAATTCGCGTTTATATATACTGACGGCTGGCTTAAAACACACATGTCTGTGACGTCAAGTTACAGAGAATAAACATACTTTGGTTTTCCCAAAAATTAGGATTTAGCCAATGCAATCGTGCTTACTGTTACCGCGATCGTCTATGCACAAAACGTCAAAAAACGTATCTATATTAAAAGATGCATACGCCCAAATGTTACAACAGTAAAGAAATTGCAAGCTAAATAACGACGTCCCTACTGCCAATCCAGAAATCGCCTAGTCGTGTAAATCAATATTTTCGTTTGTCGTTTTATCTCATGTCTTTCTATCGGAACGAAGTTGTGACCGAGAACGTACGTCTGGTTTATTCACGTAAGGCGCAACGGCAGCATCGTCCGTGTGCAAGCCTTTCAACAAGCGGCCAGCCGTCTAGCGCTGGTCACCGGGTCCGTTTTGTTTGGTAAGTGTTTCCAATTGCAATTTAAGATTGATCGTTTTGGACGACGTCCTCGATGTCGACAAACCACCCGGCGGCATTAGAGCACGGAACGAACGTACACAGTACCTCGACGTAACACGCAACTGTTTATGATTGCCGGCGAACGGAAATGATACGCTGCGTGCGAACAGTGTCAGTATTACGAATTCCCAAATGAAAAAAAAAACTAATAATTAGTTTAGCAAAAATAACGACTATGGTAATAGTCCGCTTGATGATGGCAGAGGTGATGCCGACGCAGGGTTGGCGTGAAGTCCTTGAAGTATACTTACATCGAGTAAACAGTGAGGAAAGGGTACGCTTGGAAGCCAGCACGAAACAATATTAATGACGATAAATGATGAAGGCTCCAGTCGAGCTCAAGAAAGTTGTGAACAAACATAAGGAGGTACGAGTTAGTAAGATTAGGCAAAGAGCGGTATAGCAAAGACATTCTAACGATTCTGTGGTGGACATCAGAAAAATGTGCTTGTTTTGAAGCAGTGACACTAATCTAGCAGTTAGTTCGTCGTTAACTTACGCGTTTGAACACTTTAGTTTTTTTTTTTTCATTTTAAACCTAAAAAAGCGTACAAAATGTAGACTAGCAGGGGTTGCTTATGTACGTACAATCCAGGCGTAACAATATGTAAATCTAAGCGAAAAATACAATAATGCAGACCATCTGCGGAATATATATATATATATGTGAAATTATCTATTTATTTGCTGAAAACGTAATGAGCGTTTTTTTTCCAGCTAGATGGCTTTAAGGTCATATATATTGTGATATTTGTATGGTAATCGATGCGCTAAAATTGATTAAATTATTGCGGAAGCCGAGCAAGATCAACGTGTGAGTGGCTATGGCATCGCCAAGCAACGAAACATTTACCACCAGACCGTTCTAAACCATTTGAAGTGTCATTATGAGCTCCTATCGCCTGGCAAAGCATTGACTGACATAGACACCCGCTGTAAAAGACTAATAAGATCATAGCAGGCAGGCTCTTAAAAAATATCGACCGAAACTGGCGACCAGAAAGCTTGCAAGATCATGCCATCACCATCCGTTTTAGTTTTTGCAGAACTTCCTTAATGGTGTTAATTTAGCTCCAATAGAAGAATCTAAAGATTACGCTATCTTCAGTCCGGAATCCTTGGAAATGCATGGAATATAGAAGATATATAAGACCACAGAATGGGGGACAGAAAGATGGCAGAAAATCATCCGGCAAAAAAACCGCATCCTCTCATAAATAAAATGTGTAAAATTATAAAGTTATTATCAGCCAAAAATTATATTCTCCTAATTTCTTCTAATTCTTCTAATTTATAAGCAAATTCTAGTTCTCTATATTCAATATTAAAACCTGAAACTAATTCTCTTTGAGCTAAATCAAAACGGGGGTTCGATTAATTTCTGCTAACAAATGAAGGAAAAAAATTAATCAAAAAGCAAAAATAGATCATCTAAAAATAGACTGAATAACATTTACATTTGATAAATTGATATTGCTATTTAATACTCACTTTATAAGAAATAGCTTGAGCATAATGGCCCCGAAAATGGCGTATATATAAATTATTTATCAATTTTGGTCTATAAATACTTTTTCAACAGGGCAATCAATATAAATACTTTTATGATATTTCAGAAATAATCACACTTAGAAATAGTAAATAAAAGAACGACAAACTATATAGCGGTGCAGTCTTTTCATTTCTATGGTAATGTTCATAACATTATTATTTCTTAGCTACTATAAGAAATTATGTTCTGTTATCATTTTTTGGCAATTTATCTACATCATTGGCGTTCTTTATTTAAACGTACATTTCTTTCGTAAGTAAGCTTCTCACTGTACTACGTCTTATACTGAATACTAATTCTACTATCTCACTTTAAATGAAGCCTTGAATACTAATTCTACTATCTCACTTTAAATGAAGCCTTTTTTTTAAAGTATACTTGCGTACTTTAAATCATTGTGCTGGTAATTCTGAATTATGTTCACTGTAGGATATTTGCAAGCGTTTTTGTTGAGTAGTGGTCAAAACATAGGAGGTGCTCCAGTATACACTTGTCGGTTATGGCTTAGGCAGTGCACGAACTGGCATCCACATCAAACTATACCGATGTCAAGCTTCGTCGGCCTTTTCCCTCTAGTGATGAGTCTGAATAGAAAGATGCTTCAAGTCTTTTCAAGTACGCCTATCTGTTATGCGACCTGTTCACTGTCAACGGCGTTCAATTTCACGTCCGTGCGGCACGCAACTTCGATCTTCTTGTTCTTTCAACTTTGACTTGTAGTTGACATAGATTTGGCCTTTTTTTTTACGGCGTGCGCGTTACCGTACCATATCCCGTTCAGTTACGTCTCAGCCCACTAGTGGACGGATTGAAAACTGACCCGTCGGAAAAAAGTTCGTATTTGGGTTGCAAAAATGGTACAGCTTCGAAGGAGTGTAAAGGAGCCAGTAACCTTGTTTACATTGACAATTGCAATAGTTGTATGTTTACGACTTATGTTTCTAAATAGTAGGACCTGTGCTGCCATCTAGTTGGCCGGCAGTTAGATAATGTCTCGCTCTGAAACTGACTCATTATAAAAATCGCGTCCATCTTTCGACGATCTCAGTTCCTAAATATATAAGATCGATATGCTAGAAAATAAAATCTAACAAATAACCTTTTCAATTGATTTCAATGGCAGCCAACAATATTTGCTATTATCTATTACATTCTACCCACGTTTATGTTAAAACTTTTGCTAGAGAATAATGTCGCCGGTTTGTTATGCCTCGTTTCGTACGATTTAGCTACGGCTTGAAACGCTGTTATCTCACCTGTAATTACGTTGAGCGTATTCAACACGCTCAACGTTCAATGTTTAGTAAATGAAATATTTTTCATTCTGATTCTATTATTACATACAAGCGCGTACTATGAATTTTGGGGTTACAAAAGCTTATTAGAAAAACTACGTTTTATATGTACTTGGCTAGAAAGCAAAGATTGAATCGTATCAGCATAATCTTAGATGAAGACAATTGTCACATCTTAGAGATCTTGGTTAGGCTGGAATCACGTAACCTAGCTTGAAACCACCAGCATTGAGGCACTGGCCGCCCCCATGAGAACACAACATACTATGCCATTTGAAAAATCTTTTTTCTTCAGCTTCCCTTCATGGTAAAAAGATTTTCTACAAGCATGCAGATACGAAAATTTCACAAGCGCAATCAGAGTATCAAACCTAGATCGCTTTTTTTTCCGGGAACTGCTGCAAATATGAGACCATTGGTCAACAGCAGTATCGGACTTAAAACTCGAAATATTTATTCATAGAGATTTATAATTTTCCTCAAAATTTAGGTTGACCATCGTAAGTAGCCCACTTTCTTTCGACCCCAGAAAAGTGGTTCGCCTTTTTTTATCCTGACTAGCGGGATCGATACAATGTATTTAAGTTTGTCGATTTATTACAAAATATTGGCAATAAATGTCAGCAAGATCACTTGTAATGAAAAGCTTCATTCGTTGGTTGTCCGTTAGATAAATTTGCCTTGCCATTAAACTAACGGCGTTTCCTTTATGTTCACGATAATGTTTTTCATTGTATACTAATTTCACAATTAAGCAAACCAATAATAAAAATAAGTAGGCCTAACCCAAGAGTCATTAATACCAGCTAATAAACACGGCGTCAAACTAACAAGCAACAGAAATCTTTTTGGTACGCGGTTTTTGGGATCTTGATGACTTTTCGGTTACCGCGCCAAAATTTAAAAGGCATCGTCGCAAATGCATTATTTACCCATCTTTGCGGTTTTAAGCAAATCTCTCGCCCGGATTTTGTGGTAACCACTAAAATTTGGCTCGCTGTAGTATGCTACATCTATGAGCTTACCACCCGAAGATAAACAAATCGAAAATAGCGTAAAGAAAAGTTTATATATATATGATAACTTTTCTTTACGCTATTTTTTTTTTTAAATAATATATAATTAATTTTTGTAACAGAACATGTTAAATAGATACCGACGCCTCTTATATATGATGCTTAATAATAATAGTACTACTATTATTGTGGTTGTTGATTTTTCTGTGGTGTGAATACAGCCGGCTTCAGGCACTTGCCATATGTCCAACTTGGCCTTTCGGTGTTTGATTCGTAGGCTTATAGTAAATTTTTAAGTTGCTCTTTTTTCCAGTGCAAATCGCTTCGCGTTAAATGAACCGATATGGGACAACTAAGCTGATTAGGTCGAAAAAAAAGCGGCGTTACTTCCATTACATGAAGGCAACAAGAAATTGGTTAAAGTTTTACATTTTCCGATTATGTTTCTGCAAGATAATTTACATTAATAACTGAACTAATGGGTCGACACGTAATCTACTACCTTCTCTAATATTTACTTTGTATGAAGATCAATTTGCGATGTTACGCGTGGCTGCGAAGGAACGGTTTGGGTTGTACGTTCGTAGTATTATAGTACACTCATAGAGCATTTTAAAACGGTATATCCAGGTCTAGTCCTTCTAGCGTTAAGAAACGTGTCTGGCAGCTAAGTTGTCAATATCTCGTGTGTGCATAATAAAAAATGTGTGTGGGTGATATCGCTACCCAGTCTAATTAGAGAACCCCGCCTACAAATAAGAATGAACTTTGTTAATTAATTTACATACTTTATGAAGACATCGCAAGTCTTCATAAAGTCTTCAAGAACCTGAAACAGTACAATGCGCCTCTTTGTGGGTCCGTCACATTTGCCCTTTAGTTAAGCTTTAAAAACGATCATCGATGCAAATGCACCGTGACATCACATGCTATTCCCCAGTCTGCAGTGTAGGAACGTTCTAAGCAAATGTCATGTGATTTTTATGAGGAACAATCAAGTCGTATACAAAGAAACAAAAAAAAAAACGAGAAAGCTGACCACCAAAGTTTTTCTTACTACTTCGGTTGTGCCAGCGGAACTGTAAACGAGCACAAAGTTCACATAAGTATTTTCCTGAACATGGATACGTTTAGATACAGGTCACGGGTTGAAATTAACAAATGTTATACATTGAGAGATAAAGCTAGTTTTCGTGTCAGCAGCTTGTAGTTAATCAAAACCTTCTTAGCAATATGCCAGCAATTGATTCCAGAGCTACAGGCTCATTTACAATTAGGCTATGCCGCAGGATAAATTAAGTTCTCAGAATAAATTGGCTAAACTAACAAGTTCTGTTATTTTTTAATTAATTTTGCCACGAACGATGAAAAGAAGATAGGTTTTTTCTTAGCAAGGTAAAGATAGCTGATGATATGTCTTTATGCTTATGTAGCAATGATTGGACGATGGGTTAGGAAGCCGGAATCCTAGAAAAAGACTGATTCAAATATGAATCCTGCGCCTGAACATGGCTGCCTGATTACATAAGTAGTGAAATCCCCGCTGTACTGATTACCTCAACAGGCACAGAAGCCGTATGCCTTGTAAGATCCTCTATGCAGAACCCACCTTCCTTCTGTACTTTCTCCGACTAAGATATCATGATAAATTAAAACACGGAACCTAGTAGCCTAGGATTTCGAGTACACTGCTGTTTGAACGTAATTACAAATTAGAGCATTTTGTTAATACAATTCGTAATAGTACCGGCGTACTACTAAAATTACTTATTCCAAAATACGAGTATACAATATATAGCTTTTGTTTATTTTGTTGACTCAACTTGG